ACTTAACTTCATTGTCTACAAAATGCAGAGTTATTGTAGTTGTATGAGAAAAAAGATAACACCTCGCTGGCAAACGCGTTAGAGGTAGTAGTAGATTTTTGGAATTGGTGTAGAATTTTTGGGAAGATAATTTGTCAATGGTTGATCTCCATTATTTAAAAATTCTTTTTTTTTTCCTATATCACCAAGCTCATTTTTAACAAAAATAGGGTTCAAACATAGGCTGGATTTTTATTTATTTTTAATTGAGATGGGGCATTCCCATAAGAAGCTACTATTTTTTAAGTGACGATATGTAAGTGACAATATGAAATTGTTATTTTCAAAGAGGACATTTAGTTCACGTGAACATTTAACAGCCAATTTGGATGGCTGTGGATAAAAATGAAACATTGGTATAGGGATTTTTAATATAAAATTATGTTACTTGTACATGAAAATAGTACATAAGGGATTACATAAAATGATGTGGAAAAAAAATATTGAATAAAAAAGTTGGCTGTGTTTTAAACTGACAAATGATAGATTGACATGTGGTATTATGTAATCTATTATATAAAATTTGATGTACATGTAGAAAGATCATTTTGTATAAGAGTTTGTTTGAATACATTTTATTGTAAAAATGTATTTTTGAATAGTAGATTGATGGATAATGCGTGATTGAAAAATAAAGAAGAGTTTTGAATTTATGTGTAATATCATTTTATTGAATAATTGAGGTTGAAAAGAAGCGAGAGAAAAATGTAATTTGAAAACAAGGGCTTTTTTTTTTCTTTTTTCTTTTTTGGCTAAAATGAAAAGATAGGTCCTTAATCCACATGAAGTGAATATTGAAGGAATAAAAAGTGCAAAAATCCCTTAAAAGACGTGAAAAATAAAAAGTGACGGATACATGAATAACATGGATTGAATTGAAAAAGTTATTTAACAATCGACACAGCTATGCAAAATTAAACGAACATAGATAGAGGGTACTGGGTGAAAGTTTCCACGATAATACTTTTTGTTGTTAGCATTTTTACTAATAATAATTTGACATTCACGAAAAATGATGATAAGATTTTTTAAGTATAATTGAAATGACCCCCAAGTTTAATTCAAGATTAAAAAACAGACATGATAGTTATCATTGTACTAATCACAAAATTCAAAATAATTTATAATGAAGTTGGCAAGTGAGACCGAAAGTGCAATCATTTAAAAAGTTGGAGAAGCAAATATTTTATAGTGATAATTTTTGTACGTTCGATATAAGTCATGAATATAGATATTTGATCAACAAGTGAAGTTAAAATAGAAAAATTAATTTTAGGATTCTTGAAGGCAAATATTTCAAGATAATGACCATTTGCTGAATATTATGTTCTACAAATACTTGAACATTATACACGAGATTTAAGAAATCAATGATATGATAATGGTTATAATATGAAATGAAAACAGAGTTGTGTATGTAAAAGAGTCATTTCAAAAAAATTCAAGGGATAATTGCAACCATGTTTCAAAAATTTTCAAAATTTTGCATGTTTTATACAATATTTGATTTTTAGCAGAGTTGGTCCTAAATCTTATAAACTCGTGTGACGAAAGATTTATCAACAATTTCTGTCTAAAAATTCGTTAGTTGACCAAAAATCAATGTTTAAACATAATTTGATAAGTTTTTTAAAAAGGTGAAACATACTTTTATTAATTAAAAATGGTGATTTGTATGAAAGTTCAAAATCTTTAAAATTTTACAACAAAAACTCCAAAACTTTTAAGGAATGTGTACGGAAGGACCTCAACAATTTCAATTTAAAAATCTAAGAGTCAACAAAAATATTCATTTTTTCTGAAAGGACCTAAACGATTTCAATTTAAAAATCTGTGAGTTAACAAAAATATTCATTTTTTCTGATTTACACAATCACCCAACTCCGGCGTTTAACCCCTAATCCACTTGTCGGGTATTTTGGTAAGTGATGTTCAAATAACCCTCAGACAATGATAAAAAATCAAGGCTCGTTTATCTTCATAGGCTATAAGCCTATGATTGAAGAATATTAATAAATGGAAAAATTTCATAAGTAAGAGATTATGTATAGCATATTTCAAAATTAAAAAAACAAGTTTCAAACTTCAAAAATCATATTTTTATCAAAATTTATTTATTATTAAATTAATTGATTAAATATATTTAGATCACATATCTATATAATTTGGTCATAAATTAACAATTTAATTAGTCACTTATTTTTTTTGGTCACAAATCAAAATTTTTTGTAATAAATTATTTTACGATCACAATTCAAAAATTTTGTAGGCCACAGTTTCTTCATTAGCCATGGATTAATTTTTAGTCACATTTTATCAAATTATCGGTCACAACTTATTTTTCGTTCACAAATCAAAAAAATTATAAGTCGCATTATTTTTCAATCACGAATAAAAAAATTTGTAGGTCACAGATCACAAATATTATAGGTTACAACTTATTAGATAATCAAAAATTATTAATTTTTTAAGTAACAAATTATTTCTTGCTCACAATTTATTTTTTTCACAGGTCACATATTATTTATTGATCACAAATTAATCGATTTAATAGTCACAATTAACTAAATAATCTGTGACCCCACCAACGACAACCACCGCCTCCAACAGCACCTCCACCACTGTTGCCGCTAGAACCACCACCACAACCACCACACTGAAAAACAAACCACTAAATAGTGTCACCCATGCCATCCCACACACAATCCACCATCCACAACAACCATCGCTACCACCGACCACCGCAAATCGCCACCAACACTTGGGGCAACCACTGTCTCTAACAGCACCACCGCAATTGTCGTCGCCAAAACTACCACCACAGATCCACCATCATCACCACAAATCCACCAAACCGCATCCCTCCAAGATCCACCATCATCACCATAACCCAACATCGTACCTCAACCGCCATCGATCACCGCACCTCGCCAGATCTACCACTGCAGCCCACCGTCAAACACCACCTATCGCTAGAGCCACCATCTAACAACCATTAGAAAAAAAACCCACCGCAGTCGCCATCAACCACTGCAGTCCATTGTCAAACACCACCTATCGCTAGAGCCACCGTCCAACAGCCATTTGTCAAAAAAAAAAAAAAACCACTGATTCACGCCCTGGCAAAGCTCAATGTGTCACTAGATCAACACGGCGACGACGGCTGCTTTATCTGGCCAACGATTAAGCTTCTTCTGGTCGACGACGTCATGAATGGTTGTTGTTTGAGGGAGGAAAGATGGTGAAGAAATGGAGAACATTGGTGGTCGGGGGAAAGAAGACAACGAGAGAGAGAGAAAATGGTAGGGTTTGGGATAAAAAATGTATATTTAATATTTATAGTTAAATATGCTAATATCTGATTTTAGAAATATTAAAGTTCCCATCTGATTTCAAAATTCATGATTTTAATGGTAGGATTTTGTGTAATTACCACTTAATAAATTCACACCACAATTGATATAGCCCAATCCTGTTGGGTATTTAGAAGAAATCAGCCCATTGGGCTAAGTGCTCAATACCCGATTTTGGAGAAAATTTGAAAAAGGGATTCCTATATATTTTTCTTACATGAAGATAGATACGGCTGCACTATCCTTGTCTTTGGTAAAAAGTTTCAGTTTTCTTGAATTCTATCTTGCCAAAAATTTGGAAATTTTGTTTGTCCCTTTGCCTATAAATTGAAGTTTCTTGGCCTCACTTTATACACACAAAAAGAACGGTTCTTGCCTTTGTAACCAAAACCGTCCCTTGCCTATGTGACCAGAAATTGGCCTCTTGGTTTGTGCATTCTGCCTTCCATTTCTTGCCTTTGTGTGTGCCTCTATATCTGTGACTGTAAGTCTCCAATTTGATGATACCTTTGTGGTATTGGATTGATTTTCTAAGCCGAAATAAAAGGAGAATTCATCGTTCTTTAATTCTTCTTTTTAGTTTTGATTTCCTTTCTATTTTTCTTGCAAATTTCATAACTAACATAATTGATTTGTTCAATTGTAGGTGGAATTATCTCAACATCACTCATTGGTAAATGTTGGGATCCTTCACGTTTTCTGTAATCTTGAAATCGAGAATTAAAACAAAAATAAAAAATTAATTCAAAATCTAAAATTAAAAATTGAAACGAAAACCAAACGATACCTTAAATTTTCTAAATGGAGTAAATGTTATGGTAAATATTAAAATTTACATACCCTGCTATTTTGTGCTTGGAAAAGATATATGAAAATGACCTATTTTCTAGTATTCTTGACAATACACAATTTTTCAATTAAGGACATGCTCGGTAGTGATTATGAGAATTGATTTTTTGATTGTTAGTGATAAAAGTGGTCCCACTTGTGAATGAAGAAGTTAAAAAGACGACTAAAATGGTGATATAACAGTAAAAAAAATTGATTTTTTGGGGTTGAAAAATTGTTACCGAACCAAGGCTAAAGCTTAACAAACACTATAACTACAACTATAAATATTAATCAAAAGCATAATTAACATTAATTTACAAAAAATTATACCCTTGTTTAATTTCCATTCTTCCAAAAATTCATTTTTTCAAAATTTATTTTCAATCACACATTTTTTAATAAAAAAATATTACGCGTAAATTCAAAACTTTTCTTTAATTTTTAACCATATATTTTTCATCAATTTGCTATTCAAAATTCATTATTTCCTCCAAAATTGGAATAAGTCCTTGTTTGTTAATGAATAATGAAGATTTTAGACTTTTTAGTTAATAATCGTAGAATTAGGCGCCGCCTCCAATACCGAAATAGATAATATAGAGTTTATTTGGTTTAGATTTTAAAATAATTAAAATTAATTTTTCGATCGTTATTTCACTATTTCAATCTTCATTTTTTAATTTTTCTCCCACAAATGCGACCCACCTTATGTTATTTTTAACCGTCAAAAAATCAATTATCAAAATAAACTACAAAAAAGCACATAATATCTTCCTTTCGTCTCTTCCTGTTCACACCCAGCTACGCGTATCTCAGTGACTCTTTCAAACAATCAAACAAAAATCGATTCCCAACTGACCTGAAATTTTTTCATCCGAATCCCTTTTCGCAAAATTTGATTCCAAAATAAAGAAATGGAAAAACTTGATTTGTCGAAGCTAAAACTGGCATCGTCTTCATTGGGGGAGCGGATAAAGACGAGCGGTGCTCAGATGGGCCGCACGATCAGCACGAAGATGAAGGAAATTCTCCAGAGTCCTACGCCGGAATCGAAAATAGTCGATGAGGCCACGGCGGAGTCCATGGAGGAGCCTAACTGGAGTTTGAACCTCCGCATTTGCTCTATGGTCAATAAGGAGGAATTGAATGGGACGGAAATCGTTAAGGCTATTAAGAAGAAATTGGTGGCCGGGAAAAGTCCGGTCAGTCAGATGTTGAGTTTGGACTTGCTGGAGACTTGCACGTCGAATTGTGAAAAGATGTTCTCCGAGGTAGCGTCGGAGAAGGTTCTGGATGATATGTTGAGATTGATTGATGATCCGAAGGCGGAACAGGGGAATAAGGTTAAGGCGATGCAGCTGATCCGGGCCTGGGGCGAGTCTGAGGATCTCATGTACTTGCCTGTTTTTCATCAGACTTATTTGGTCAGTTGCACTTTCTCCTTCTTTTTTGTTCTATCATTCAGTTCTATACATTGTGGATGTTCCAGAATCTGGAAACTTTTTAATCTGTTGAATAGCGTTGCTGCTATGCAAAATGCTAAGAAGGAAATGTGGAAACCAAGGCTTTAATATCATCCTGTCTGGTTCCAGAATGAAAAGGTGAATTGAACCGAAATCAAGAACCGGCCAGTCCCAAATGGTTCTTGGTTCTTGAACTGGAACCATGGGTAGCTAGCTCTGGAATCGAATTATATATCTTTTTCTTGTCAAAGACTTGATGCATAATTTTCATGATTGGGTGACAGCAATGACAGCGGACGTGAACCCGTTGCTCCATATCCCAATAAGACAAATGATCTAAAAGCTTTCATTAAATAGGGGAAAAATTTATTCATTTCTAATTCTATTAGAAAATGAAATATCTGGCGATGAATTTTCCATTTTTTTGCTGGATAATGTTTGTAGTGGTTATTTGGTTAGTGATTAACGAAGCAATAAGAACTTGAACTTGTGAAATACGCTGTTAATGTCTCTCTTTAGAGTTGTACATTCACTAAACCTGTATTCATATGGATTATTATTTTCTGGTGTTATTTTCTTTCTAGCGCTTCTATGTTGTTCGGAAATTTACTACAGTTTTGGTTATATGGTTCGAGTTTAGTATTTCATGTTGGTTTCTTGTTCTAATGCCTTTCGTGTAATAACTTATTGTTCTTTCACGTGATAAACTGTTACAGATTAAGATTTTAAAATAAAAACTTAACGTGGAACATGATGGATATGCTGGCTTCTGGTGTGCGTGTTTCCATTCTCGACGTATTTAGATATCAGTGATATTTCCGCCCATCGCTTAGAAGGACTAAGTTCTAACCCTGCATAATTCCATGCTTCATGAACTTTGATAGCAGTGATATAAGTTTTTCTTCCGCAATTTAATTGGTCGGAATTTGGCAGAACTTGAAGACAAGAGGGACACCTCCAGTAACACAAGATGGAAATGCACCTCCCACGCAGTATAGCCTGGAGTCATATCTTGATCGCCAGCCCCGTTCGCCTCCTGGAAGTTATCCTATTCCCAACACTAGTTTGCAAAATGTTCCAGATGCTGCATTCATTAGTTATAGCATCCAATCTGTTGAAGAGAAGAAGGAGTTTCTTGAAATAACTCGAAATACTCTCGACATTTTGTCCAGCATATTGAATTCTGAAGTTGTATCCGAATCTCTCAAGGTCAGGATAATCTCCTTTTTGTTTATATATTTAATAAATCACTGTTTCAATCCTAACTTCAGATTTTGTTTTCTAAATGCTACTGTTGCTGCCGTTGTTATTATTATTATTATTGTTTTAGTTATTATAGATTGCCTTGCCGGTCTAGCATAATATTTTTGGCAACTTTCCATGCCAAATTTCCAGTATCTGCGAGGCAAGTCTTTTGGGCACACGTTGGCATCAAAACAACACTTGCTTCCCATCGACTTTGGAGTAGTCTTTTTCTGTAATGGCCAGTTATCGTACTGTCCCTTTCCTTCTCGTGTTCTAGGCCTTACAATCCTGCGACAGAACTTTTTTACTGGTGTTTTATGTTGACACCTTTTAATCACTTCAACTAATCTACAAACAAATAAAATAGATTTCAATACTAATAAGATGTTTTGGGGATTTTCCAGGATGATCTGACTGTGAGCATGTTGGAGAAATGCAGACATTCACTGCCGGTTCTTCAGGGAATTATCGAAAGCACGTCTGACGATGATCTGATGCTTTTTGAGGCTCTAAACCTCAACGATGAGATTCAAAAAGTAATTTCCAAATATGAGGAAATGGTAGCTTCCTTAGAACCAGAACAGCCTAACTCGGATGCTAGAGAAGAACTGCCTATTCACTCTGATGACAATGCAAGAGAACTACCTTATCACGCTGATGCCAAAGGAGCAACTTTAGCTCTGCAGAATGAAAGTCAACGCGAAACCGAAAGTCTGAATTCATTGGAAGTAGGGATCTCTGGATCCCGGAGTGAGACGAATAATAAGAGTGCTCAAGCACAAAAAGCTATTCCAGAGTGAGAGGAATAATACGAGTTCTCGAGCACCAAAGAGTGATAATAAAAGTGGCAAATATAGTGGACTTACCTTTGGTGGTAGATCGAGATCTGGTTTGAGTTGCCTGTTTATTCTGTTACTGTCTCTAAATTTATGGTGCACGTCTTTCGTGAGAAATTCGAAATTCTCACCGTGACTAGTTAGCTAGGTTGTTACTGTTTAATGCACAAGGACTCCAGACGATTGTTTGTATGATTTTATATTAGCATTTGCATTGGCTTGTTACGGTATATTCGATTGCATTTTACTGTAGTTGATAATATAATAAATAGATCTTTTTAATTAATTGCACTATGCTGTACTATCTAATCATTTTCATTGAACATATCAAACGTGCCATGTGTGTTTGACTCAATAAAACACTCCCTAGAAAGTGTCTTTTCATGTTTGTAATTTTTTTTGGCTAAATCTTCGTGACGTGAGGGGGGAACGCTGATATCTAGCTAAAGATAGCTAGTTAGGCTAACACTTTCTTGAGGAAATTCCCCAAATGGTCACCGAACTTTGGATAACTTTTTTCGAGGTTAATTTGACATTTTTCTCTTTGCATTTTTTTTTCTATGTTCAATCAAAGAACAAGAACGTACCCTGAAACTTTAAGTTAAATTTATCTTTGGATCACTTATTTGAAGGTTAATTTGACTTTTTTCTATGCATTTTTTAGGACTGTTGGAAATTGGTACGTCGAATTTTATATTTCTTGTTGTTATCTTTTAAACTTGGTAATGAACATATTTTAACACGCCTTAATGATACTAATTAAGTAGGAAAAAATTGACTAGTGGAAATTTTAGAAATTATACGTGAAATGTAAATTTAATCCATTTTTAGCTTAGCCAAACGGGCAATATCTTATCTTGTAGACTTCAACAAACGAGCGTATATCTATCTACTACTCCCCGTAATTCTCCACCCCGCCAAAAGTTCACCCGAAATTTCTCGTCCAAAACCCTAACCCTACTCCCGAACTGTATAATTTTCGAGCCATAGGATTCGGACTTCAATCAAAGCTCCCAAAATGCCAGCCATCCCATCGCCGGGAAAGATCCTCCGGCTGGAGCTGGAGAACTTCAAGTCATACAAGGGTCACCAGGTAATTGGCCCATTTTACGACTTCACTGCGATCATCGGTCCCAATGGTGCTGGTAAATCCAACCTAATGGACGCCATCAGCTTCGTCCTTGGCGTGCGAACTGGCCAGCTCCGTGGGGCCCAGCTGCGAGACCTCATTTACGCGTTCGATGACCGCGAGAAGGAGCAGAGGGGAAGAAAAGCCTACGTCATGCTCGTCTACCAGCTGATGGACGGGACCGAAATTAGTTTCACTCGCTTAATTACTCCTGCTGGTGCCAGTGAGTACAGGATTGGGGATCGTGTTGTGAATTGGGATGATTATAATAACAGCTTGAAGTCGCTAGGAATTCTTGTCAAGGCACGCAATTTTCTGGTTTTCCAGGTGGTTTCGCCGACTATAGTCTTGCTTTTCTTCATTCTCTTCTGCGTTTTAAGTTTAACTTTTACACTGAGTTATAGTTTCTTGAATAGCAATAGTTTTAGCCGCATGGTAGTGTAAAAATGACAAAAAAGTACATTTTGGAGAGACAATGTTGGAGGGAAACCTGCCTTTGCTTCTGGGTTAAAATTGAATTAGAACAGTAATACTGTAAAAACGTTGATGGTGGAGTAATGTTGAAGACCAAATTTAAATAAATAAGCATGTGGAGTGGTTGACATGTTATTAAAATCAGCCAAAAATCCGGCTTCAATTCTTGCTATTACTCATTTATGAAAATTTTGCATTGTATGAATCCGGCATGCGGTGGGTGTATTGAAGACGATATTTAAATAACTAAATATATTCTTTCTAACCATTCTAGCTTTCTGATGAGGTGTTTAACCTTCAATCACAGCTAGGCTTGACGTCACCCATTTATGAAAATTATGCACGTGTCAAGCTTTTGATGAAAAATTGTTATGGCTAGACGTGATGGAACACATTGAAGACTGAACTTACATAAATAAATTGTGCACATGTCAAACTTTTGATGTAAATGGTTGCTTAAACCAGCTTTAGTTGGTATTATAACTGGATGTCACTAAGTCTCGTAAGGAAGGGAGAATTATTTCAACATGAGAATGAGATTGTGCCACAAGGGATCCCAAACTAAGGATGAAACCAATAGTGCAAGGGGTGAATCCTTGGTCGCAGCTCCAGGTGATAACAGGCTTGATTGCACCTTTCCAGTTCGCTGTGGCTTTTGGAACAATTGGTTACAACACCCAGCATCACTAGTATGAAAGAGAATTTACAATTGAAATCAGTTGTACTTGCACGGAGAAATGAATAACATGTGTTGATCAAAGTTGTGATTCCATTCTTTACTCTAGTATGACTAAGACAGAAGTTGAACAATAAAAAAAGACCAGAGTGAAATTCAAAAGATTAAGTAGATTATTTGATCACTTTCCTGTACGGGGATAATGGGACAAAAGTTGATTGAAGGCCCGAACAAGAATTATTGGTGGTGATGCTTGCTGGAAATATCATTTCAAGGAAAGTGGACAATCAGAAAACTTTTCAATAATGAAAGTTGGTTTGATGGGTAAGAATAAGAATGTGGGAAACAATTTCTCTTATCCTGAAATTCATACTGGGTTTCCTTATGTGCACATTTATTTATTTATTGGCCTTTCCAGTGTTTCCTGAATACAAATAATACTACCTTCTCCTTTTACCTGAATTGTATTTTTATTTTAATTATTATTATTATTTAGTTGGATACATAAGCACAGGCACATTTCTAGTAAGTAAAGAAATTAAACTATACAAATATAACTAGGGATGTAATTTAAAGACTCTGCAACTGCTTTATAAACCAAATGATGTACAAGGAACACCGTTGGCTATTGAGTGAGTTACAGAATCAATATATTTTATTAATTCCAATGATGAGGTGTTTTATGACGCAGGGGGATGTGGAGTCAATTGCTTCTAAGAATCCTAAGGAACTTACAGCACTTATTGAACAAATCTCTGGTTCTGAAGAATACAAGAGACCATATGAGGAACTGGAAGAAAAAAAAGCCATGGTTGATGAAAAAGCCGTGCTTGCTCATCAAAGGAAAAAAACAATATCGGCAGAGAAAAAACAGAAGAAGCAGCAGAAAGAAGAGGCTGAAAAGCACCTCAAATTGCAAGACCAACTTGTATTCACTTATACTTAAATTATATTTGTACGATTTAGTGTTTTTAACTTGTATATGAGCTGTTATAGGAGAGCGAGAGAATGCTTTGAAATTTAAATTTTTTCAGTACTCATGCACGAGCTTTCAATATTTTAATCCTGTCATTGGAGGGCTATATCCTCTCCTTGTAGAAATAAGTACGTTAATACTTGAATAGCAATTATTTGAAATGACCTTTCATTTTGAACTAATAATTCATCTCTTTATTATGCCTCCAATGCAGAAATCTTTAAAGCAAGAACATTTTCTTTGGCAACTATTGAACATACAAAAGGATACTGAAAAAGCTAATGAGGACCTGGATGTTGAAGAGCATGCCCGAAAAGAAATTGTGGATGAACTGGGGAATTATGAAAGCGAAGCAAGTAAAAAGAAGAAAGAACAATCTGGATATTTAAAAGAGATTGCACGATGTGAGAGGAGAATCACAGAGAAGCAGAATGGACTTGATAAGAATGTAAGACTATCTTTTTTCCATCATTTTCTGCTGCTGCTTTTGTGTTTCTTGTTGAATAGAGCAAGGTTCATTGTTCCGGTCCAATGCACACATTAGATCAGCTGGATTTGACCTGCAAAAAGTTACCATACCGATCATGTGGGCTAAGCCAGGACTTCTAAATAAAATTATTCGGGTAAGACTAGGGGGATCTTGGATTGCAAGAAAGCTTGCCATATAAGTTGAAGGAAGGGGTTCTTTTTGGCAAGAAGATATGAAATGTTCTATTGCAAGTTAGCATTCTCTACTTATATTACATAGACCTCCTTTTTGTTAGTCCAGATCCAAACTCAGATGGAATATCATTTTCCATAATTATGACTCTGCGGATCTGTCCAAAATCTGCTGTAAATTAATTTTCTCTCGCTCAAATTGTCATATAGAATTTTCTGCAGTATAGTTGTAAAACTGTTGCAGAATATAATATTATTTTGTGGTAAAGAAACTATTTTGACTCAAAGATTGGACCACTCTGAAGAGTCTTTGAGGAGTTTTGGATTTTAAAGACAGAATTTGGCTTTGGATAACTGGATATCTGGCACCTTCCTGTGATAAGTTCAATATGATAAAAAAAAACTACTTTGCCTGGAGGCAAGATTATGTATAGTAAGATGTTTAGTCTAATTTAAGACTGTGCTGGTAAGTAATAAGTAATAAAAAAGGAGAATGAAAAAAGCGCTGACGTGTTCTGCCCTGCTGTCTTGTTTAAGACTATTCTAGAAGTTTTGTGGCATCTCTTGTTATTTTCTTCTATTGTTCTACATGGCTGAAAGGACTGATATGTCAAGTGGAGGAAAGAGCACACCCCGTGCTATTCATGAATGCTGATCTGTAAATTTTCTTATGAGAATTTACTTCCTTGACTGTGACGTTTCAGTTAACTGGGAGACTTTGAAATCACTTACACGATTGATGATGAGAAGTGGGCATGTCCTGCAGTGAAATTACGCAATTTAGTTTTTGGGTTATGGACAGAGTGATTAAGAGTGGATACTAAGCCAGTTTGCTTGTTTTGAGGGTGGTTTGGATGGAGAGAAATGCGAGTATTTATTAGTTAGTGCTTGCATGATTCATTTGTGACCAAGTTGTCTTTCCTTCTCTTTGTGATTTGTGTCAGGTGTCTTCTGGGAATTCTGGTTCACACTCACTAGGAATATCTAAGATGTTTACTTTTAATCTTTTTTCATTATTTATCACTACTTATCGGGAGATCCTATTGTAATTTTTACTTGTTATAGAGTAATCTTCCAGGGGTTTGTCTTCCTGAAAGAATGAGGCAAATTCTTTCAAAATGTGTGGTTTTTGGTTCGATATAAACATATACTTTTATTACTTAAAAGGTTGATTACTGAAAAGGTTCTTATGCTTTTTACCTGACTATTCATACTGGGACCATCTTTCTTGCTTTAACCCTATAAATGAGACTTCTTCCATAATATGAGCATTGTTATTTGCTATTAATCATATTTTCACCTAGCAGTTCGAGAGTATTGTAGAAAATAATTCTTTCTTAATGACTCTGTTTGTTGTTTGAGTATCAATTCTCATCTTTCTGTTGCAAATAACATTTATTTTACATGCCATTGAGGTACACAACTTGTATTTTTGTGCTACAGCAACCTGAGCTTCTAAGGTTAAAGGAGGAGGTATCTCGTATAGCTTCAAAAATCAAAAGTACTACTAAAGAGCTAAGCAAAAAAAAAGAAGAAAAAAAGAGACATTTGGAGGAGGTGCAGAAACTTCAGAATGACCTGAGGGATATCACGAAGCAGTTGGAGAAATTACGAGAGAAAAATCAGGAGGCTGGGGGAAAACTTCAATTAGTTGACAGTCAATTGGAGACATACCACCAGATGTGAGGCCTTTTATTTCTATTCTTGTCAAATTTGAATTGTTTGTCTATCATTCCAGTTCAAGCATACACGTTTGTGTGATAACTGCTGCGGTTAATGTCTTATAATATTTTATAATACCTCAGAACTTGTATAAACCTGCATATTGTTGCAGTATGGCATTCTTTCCAGACACTTGGAAATCCTTTAATTCATGTCTCATGATAGATTCTCCTCTTGTGCCTGTGTCTTCACGGCAATTCTTCTCTCCTTCTTTCCCCTCCTTCCCTGTATGTGCATGCATGTATTTACTGAGCTCCCGTGTACAGTTATCGATATTCCTGCCCTATTTTGGTGGGATCTAGTTAAGTAAAATGTCTTGAATTGTAAAGCCTTAGGGAATGAAGACCAGGTGGTATAACTTGCAATTATTTTTCAGGAAAGAAGAGGCTGGGATGAGAACTGCAAAATTAAAGGACGAGAAGGAGGTCTTAGATCGGCAACAACATGCTGATACAGAAGCCCAAAAGAATTTAGAAGAAAATCTTCGACAGTTGGAAAATCGGAAGCAGGAACTGGAGTCACAAGAGAAACAGATGCAAACTAGACTCAACAAAATTCTTGATGCAGTTGGGAAGCACAAGGAAGAACTTATACGAGTACAGAAGGAACAGCGCGAGGTGAAAAATAAGCTCGTAGAATCCAGGTGGGGTGATGGTGCTTCTCAATGATTTTCTTCTTCAATGCTTGCTGGATGTTTTGCGTTTTGTACAATTCTCATGCTCTTTAGATTCATTTGTACAGGCGCAAATATGACATGTTGAAGGCAAAAATTAGTGAATTAGATGATCAACTGCGTGAATTGAAGGCTGACAGACATGAAAATGAAAGGGATGCCAGGTTGTCTCAGGCAGTTGAAACCCTTAAACGTCTTTTTGCCGGCGTTCATGGTCGCATGACAGAGCTCTGCAGGCCAATACAGAAGAAGTATGAGCTTGCTGTCACTGTCGCCATGGGCAGATTCATGGACGCTGTAGTGGTCGAGGATGAAAACACAGGAAAGGAATGCATCAAGGTATCTGATATGTAATTTCTTCCAGGACAAACTTGCTCTCACTAGTTTTCTTTTTCTCTTGAGTTCATTCTACGAGTGTTATTTCTAGATGGAAAGTTGAAAAGGATTTCACAATTAGTTACTATATCCATGGCTTTTCTTCCTCCAATTATCTTAATGAGAAGCTCTTTGATCATAGAATTATCATTTATTCTTCCTTAATTTGATGTAGATATTGTGATTTTAATTATCTTTTAGAGTTGATAAGGTGAATTGAAAGCAGGCTATTATTGTGAATGAGGGGCCTTTAACAGGTCAAGTTGTGGTTGTGTTACTAATGTTTGAGTTAGTGGGTTTTCTCCTGTATTGTTGTAAATCAAACTGAGCTTCAGAATACTTGCTTACTGATGCACATCTTTTTATATGCCCTATAATGTCTTATGAAGTCATATTTCCAATGTATGTTTCCTCAATTTGAAGTCTTTTCTTCATCTTGCTTCTCTGAATTTCTACACCCAGGGCTTAATCCTATACACATTTATCTCTGGATGCTACATCGACGTTCTGAAATATTCTACTTATTTGTGTTCATAATACACCATGGTGGCTTCTTCCAGCTTCTCTCAATTGAAAACTCATCAATTTATCTTCTCTCTTCTCCCTCCCAAGTCCAAGGCATACTGTACCTGTTGACTTTAACAACCATTGATTCATCCCACATTAAATTTCTCTGTTACTGCATGATTTGACATATTGTGTAGTGTCTTATTGGAACCTTTGACTTTGTGAGAATCAGCTTATCAAAAAGTCAACTGTTCAAATAAGACAAGTACTGTATATAGTTTTTGACTAAAAGTTGAAGTTATGTTGTAATGCTTGAAAATTTCGAGCTTTTGAAAAATTTGGCTAAGCTGGATATTTTCTTTTGTTATAAATCATAATCATAGTTAAATTTCAAAAGATTACATATTTATGATTAGTAAGTTTGCTTGCTTACTACAGTATTTGAAAGAACAAAGGCTCCCTCCCCAGACGTTTATACCTCTTCAGTCAGTGCGTGTGAAGCCAGTTACAGAGAGGCTGCGCACCTTGGGAGGAACAGCAAAGCTGGTCTTTGATGTCATACAGTATCCTTTTTAAAGTTCTTAACTCCTGTCATATGATCATATGAATCGATAATGGAAGTCTACATATGATTCACCTGTTTATGCTTTTTACTGAAATCTACATTACCTGCAAATGCATTTTTCAATTAAGCTTTTTGCTTTTTCCTAACGTGCTTCTTCTCTTATCATTCTACCTTTTTATCTCAGTAAAAATGTGAAAGAAACCACAGATATTTGTGTACTTAACCTGGAATATTCTTATTATATGGACAAGAAGAAAGGAGAAATATGGTTTAGGCTAGTTTTAGGGAACACGAACTCAAGATCTCACAAGTGTCGATCACTTTAACAATGAGAACTAAGATAAACTAGAGAGGTGGATAAGCCATTTTTAGAATTTGCTAAATGAAAATTAAAGAAAAGGTGATGGAGTTGGAGAAACTATTAACTTAATGAGAATACAAACATGCAGAATTAGGGTTGCAGAGTGAGGGAATCTTTGAACATTACAAAGGTTGGGTTATATGACCTGGCTTACAAAAAAGCTCTACAGCCACTCAAGAGCTGTGAAATCTGACCCTTTTCTTATCTTTTTGCCATCTCGTCTTATATCCGTTCAATGAATGTGTTGGAGATATGCACAAATGCGCTCTGGCAGTTGTTCAGATCATCCGATCTCATACAGCCATACAGGTTGTATATGGATATCTAGAGCATTAATGAGTTTGAACTGTTAGATCAAAAAATATATATGTTTCCCTCTGAGATTGAGCCATTTTTTGGTTGAATCTCCCCCCTCTCACCAGAACTTCAAGGAATATAAGGAAATTTTTGGAAATCAATTAGAAATTAGTGGAGCTTGCCCTTTCAGTCTTTTGAGCGCTGTCCATCATTTCGTCCTCACCAATTCATTCTTAATTGAAGCATAAAGCCGAGCTTCTCTCTTGAAAGTTGGGTCGTTCTCTGATGTTATCTTGAAAGTATATATGGTATGCTTCGACTTTGTGTCCTTGACAAATCTTGGATTCAATCCTTCACTGGAAAAGGCCATTTTATTTGCTGTTGGAAACACCTTGGTTTGTGACGATCTCAGTGAAGCTAAGAGTCTAAGTTGGAGCGGAGAGAGGTTCAAAGGTATAACAGTACTTAATTTTTTCCCCGCAATTGCCAGATTGATTTTATTCAAATTGTTCTTCTGTTTTCTTGCTCATAGTTGTCACCATTGATGGGATCCTATTGACAAAATCTGGTACGATGACTGGTGGCTCAAGTGGCGGCATGGATGCACGTATACATAAGTGGAATGACAAAAATGTTGAAGGTTTGTGTCTGAAAAGCCCAGACATGTACACATGCGATTTTTCAAAATAGTATTGCATGGTCAAGTCGATTCTATAAAATTTTACATTTATATTTTATACCTTTATTCTCATGCCTTTTAATTTAGGACACGGCACATGGCATGTTAGAGACTTGTCAAGAATGATCCTCAAAGTATCCTTCAAATGTCAGAATTTTAATAAAATACATTCAAAATAGGACATCACATGTCTCTTCTTTGACAGAATGTCCGAGTCGTGTCGGTGACGTGTCGTATATGGACACGTCAGTCTTGTAGGAGGGTCTGTGGTTACTAGGTTTTGTAGTTTTTTCTACATGGTGCTAGGATGATTGCATTATAGCTAGATTTTGTCATCTGCAGGGCTTAAGAGGAAAAAAGAAGATCTCGAGTCCCAGTTGGAAGAGCTTGGGTCTATAAGAGAGATGCAGCTCAAGGAGTCCGAAGTGTCAGGCAAAATTAGCGGTCTTGAAAAGAAGATTCAATATGCAGAAATTGAGAAGGTAAAATGAAATGTGTGAATATGTTGCATGTAAGTGTCATCAGCTATGGGTTCAAATCTGAGGCTTAGAGAATCCTAGACAATGTTCGTTATCCTGAATTTTTTTTTGGTCTCCTCTGAATGATGTGAGACTTTTGCATTACACATCTTTATGTTAAACATGTATATCAATTGTTCCTGTTTAGGTTATCATCATCTTTTCTTCGTAAGGTTACGTAATCTGTTCATATTCTGTTTGATGTTTTATGAGAAACTGGAAAAGATGTATGAGGGTTTATAGCATACCCGGATTGTTAATTCAACAAACTGGAAGAACTCTTTTTTGCATCAATGAACCACCGATATTTCCCCTTTCTAGCAATAAGCCACCAACTCCCCCCCCTCCCCTAAGAAACAAAAAAAAAAGGCAAAGAAGTATGTAGAAATGATGTATCACACTAAGTAGAACACAAGAATATAGGGAGGATCACGAAGAATGGAAAGGAGGAGAGGAGAGAAGAAGATAGACAACGGAGAAGAAAAATTGTAGGGGGAAGTTTTAATAACTGTGTGTACAAAATTCAATATTTGTCTAAATAAAAATCACATAGCCTAATTTATTTTCTTAAAATAAATATGCAAGGGTAATGCTTCAACATTTATCTATAAAGATCCCCATATTGAAAGACACCTACCATAGCTACATATGAATCCTGGATTTTGTGTTGAACGTAGCTATTTTCACAAGTGTCATAGGCTGTTTCCCTCCTTGGAGCGTGCTAAAGTTACCGATGTCAGTGTTATCAAAACCAGAAAAATTGGGAACGGGACTGGAAACTTGTCCAGTTATATATTAAAAAGCGGTGGCAAACCTGGTGCTCTTCAACTGGTCCAGGTTGACCCGCCAGATCCCTCTCTGAATAAGTAGCTCCAATTCAGCAGAATCATCCATACTGACCATGCTATAATTTATAATCTTTTACCTATAAAAAATTACATAACTGATTTCTTATTTTCACCTCATATGCTCTTTGGGTTTGTGTTATGCATTTTTTACGGTATTGGGACTCATGTAAAAGCATCTGGTGCAGAAAAGTATTGAGGACAAACTGATCAAGTTGAATGCGGAGAAGAGCAACATTGAAGGGGAAATTGTCCGTGTGAAGCCTGAAATTCAAAAGGTGTGCTTTTTTGGTCTTTATGCTGTTATTACGAGTTCAGAAACACCTAAACTTATCTTGGGTGTTGGCAGTTGGAAAATGTTATCAACAAAAGAAAATCTAAGATCTCGTCATTAGAAAATGCGATCAACGATATTGTTGACAGAATCTACAAGAAATTTAGCGAATCTGTTGGGGTAGCGAACATTCGTGAATATGAGGAAAACCATCTCAAGGCAATTGAGCAAATGGCTGAAGAAAGGCTCAGCTTGCATAATCAGCAATCAAAACTGAAATACCAGTATGTACTCTCAGTTTAGTTTTTTATTTCTTTATATATAGGACTCGATATTGTGTCATTTTGCCTGCCATGTCCTTTTAGACTGTTGAAAGTTATCTTCAGATAAGGAAGGTTGAATCTGATTAGACACACAAATTTGTGTGTAACTTCCAATGCTCTTAATTATCTTTCTCACTTTTGATCTCTTGTTTATTGCTAATCTGTACACCCATTTTATATTTGTTCAGGTTAGAGTATGAACAGAAACGAGATGTGGGATCACGGATTACCAAACTGGAATCAACACTTTCTAACTTGAAAAATGCTTTAAAAGAGGTTGAGAAAAGCCAGATTGAACTGAAGTCAGCAATGGAGGCAGCAAACTCTGATATTGATCGTTTAAAGGAAGAAGTGTTAGGTACTTCTAAATTTAATTTTTATTAAAAATTATTATTAACAATTGAATTAATTGTAAGAGCACGATCACTTATAGTCTAGCTAAACCAAGCTATCAAGTTAAGTATGACCATACCTCTACGATATGGCATGTTTGAGCTTATAGAATATAATCGAATATATTCTTTGTGTTGAACTGATCTATCTTTCAATCAGGAAATCATCAGAAACCGATGCAATTTTGCACTTCATTTGATTTGATTTCATTTTGTTGCTCTCGTCTTCTGGTCCATCGTTTCATCCTGGTTATGTTGATGCTGATGTTCTCCAATTTTAATTGTCAAATTCCAATTTTCTTCTTTGGGTCATTTGAAAATTTTGAGTTTGACACGATAACTCAATGGTATCCATTTCTTCTTTCTTAGAGTGGAAGTCAAAATCAGAAGAGTGTGAAAGGGATATTCAAGAATGGAAGAGAAAGATTTCAGCTGCTACAACAAATATTAGCAAGCACAATCGTCAAATTAAATCAAAGGTAAGCTGTAAGGGTTACGTTCTGAAGTTCCAGATATCATTAATTGATGATCTCCGCTAAGAGTTTTCGAGTTCCAACTGAAATGTTAACAGAGAAGAACAGATGCAGTAAATGTTTAACATATTTTTTTCTGGATTTTGCAGGAAGCCCTGGTTGAGCAGCTGAATTTGCGGAAGCAAGAGATATTGGAAAAATGTGAATTAGAACATATAGACATTCCAACAGTTGGCGACCCTATGGATACTGGATCATCATCCCCAGGGCCAGTTTTTGATTTCAGCATACTAAGTAGATCTCTTCTGCAGAAATCTAAGCCATCTGAGAGGGAGAAGATTGAGGTAGAATTCACACAGAAAATTGCTGCCTTAATGTCTGAAATTGAAAGAACAGCTCCAAATTTGAAGGCACTGGATCAGTACGAGGCTGTTTTGGAGAAGGATAAAGTTGCTTCGAGAGAGTGGGAAGCAGCCAGAGATGAGCAGAACAAAATCACTGCTGAATACAACAGAGTTAAACAGATAAGGTGCTTTATGAGTTCCATAGACTCGCATGCATATTATAGATGATAACATGACTACGTAAGGATTGTACAGCCCGAATTCAATGGGCCTATTAAGACCAGGAAATGATGCAGGAGTTTGGTTGGAATGACTCTGTTAACCATTAAACATCACCTCTTTTTATTATGCAATTACCCAACATTGGAGATTGGCTGATGACACCCTTAATAAATTTTACTTTTGATCATCTCTTGACATCAAGATCTGTCATTGAATATATGGTACTATACTATGCCTTCAAACCTTGCTAGTCCACGCATTCTCAAATCCATCTTTTTTGAAATGACTTCATCCCACAAAACCATATTCCATCACTGCCTTCGTGCAACCATTTAGAGTATCTTGTTGCTGTTACGAACTATCTTATTCTTTTCTCTCTCTGTGTGGGTATATTTAAATTCCTCTATCATATTAGTTCTTGCTCTTTCAATCGCTGGGAACACTAACGCATTCACACCAGGTCAAAATGTTAAACAGGAGTAAACAACACAGTTGATTATGAATTATAAGCAGTCTTAAAAATTTGAATTGATGGGTGTGCATCTTGGCATTGATGACTGGTAATCGAACTTAAGATGCTAGGTTGCAATAAAAATGATTACCTTAGTAAAATCTAGAAAACATGGGTACAAGCCCATGATATAGGTGTTGAATTTCATATCTGCTATTGAGAATCCGTGAAGTTTTCTTTTTGAAACCGCTTCCTATTTATTTGATGTAGTGGATTCTCATTTGTATCTTTTCTTCTATTCCCCTTGGCAATATATATCCTGTTACATTACTACGTTTCCTAATGTTTTGTTTGGATTATGCTTATATTTTTATAATTTTTACCACCTTAGTCTTTATGCTCATTCAGCTTAGCAATTGTTCTCTCTCGCTGTGGGTTTTGTTCCTGCAGCACCTTCAGTCTATTCATCTTAAATTGTCAAGTGAATGTTTGCTAATTTCAAAGTTGAATACAGGCATGAATTATTTATGAAAGCTTTTGACCATATCTCTGGCAACATTGACAAAATTTACAATGAACTCACAAAGAGCAATGCACACTCGGTGGGCGGGCTAAGTGGAACACATGCTGTGGGTGGGACAGCATATCTGAACTTGGAAAATCCTGATGAGCCTTACTTATATGGCATCAAGTACAGTGCTATGCCCCCGACTAAGCGATACCGTGATATGTCCCAACTGTCGGGTGGAGAGAAGACTGTTGCTGCACTTGCCTTGCTATTTTCCATTCACAGGTATGTCCAAGGCAATGCATAAAAATGTTGCAGGCGGAAAGCAGTCCTGTTCATATTCTGCTATAGATGCTGTTAATCCTCTCTTTTCCTTAAATTTTTTGTTGAGATGCACCTTGCAATTTCTCTAGTGCCCCCATTTAATTATTATTTTACCTTCTTATTGCTAAATCGAACCAGTGTGATGCATGTTGTCTTTTGAGTTTAATGATTTTGGCTGAACAAAATTGTTGGTTTTTGAACTTGATTTTATTGCTTTCGTCTATTTATTATCATTTTTTGGCAGTTAAAGTTTTCGGAGATCTATTTGAAGGAATTGCTCATATTACAGCTTTTGTCCTTGGAATTTTCAGTTTTAGGCCCTCGCCCTTTTTTATACTGGATGAAGTGGATGCTGCATTAGATAATTTAAATGTCGCCAAAGTAGCTGGTTTTGTCCGATCAAAATCATGTGGAGGAGCAAGGATGAACTCGGATGCTGAATTTGGTTGTGGTTTTCAGAGTATCGTGATTTCTCTCAAGGACAACTTTTATGACAAAGCTGAAGCTTTGGTTGGTGTCTACAGGGATTCAGAAAGAAGGTGAGAAAAATTTGCCCTGTTAAATTATTGCATTTTCTGTATCATATAGATACAAGTTTTATTTTCCATATAACACGTCCGTGACAAAATTGCTAAATTGTTTTGTCCAGCTGCTCGAGAACGTTGACATTTGATTTGACCAAATACCGCGAATAATGAGAGTGACTCCATACTGCAGTCGCCTATGTATCTGCTGTCTATACTATGTTTGAAGTTTGTGCAAGACACAGCTTTGTTTTCGTATTGAATGTAAAATGATCATGTTATTAATAGTTTTGAGGACATAATTGTTTAGTTTTTAGACGGTGTGATTTGAAACTCAAAAAAAGAATTTCGTGACTTGTTGCGTCACCGATAACTTTTCGCATCTGTTTGGTGGGGATTAAAATCAGATTTTTAGTAGGTTTTGATAAAACTTAATGAAATGTATAGTTAAAAAGTCGTGAATCTCATGAAATGTTTAATTAAAATTAGTTGTTGATTTTGATTTAGATTAAAATCTAGATTTTAATTCCTATCAAATAGGGGATTCATAATGGTACTCTCATTTTTAGAATTTCATACTTTCCAAATGAGATTCGAATCATTTTTGCTGACCTGATAGTGCGAATTCTATAATTCATATGAAATGTTAATAGTTTTTTCACGAGTCGAACAATGTTAGTTTAACTAAAGGAGGAGGATACATAGATGTGCTATTAATCGAAGTTTTAGAATAAGAATACGATTTAAAAAAACACAAAATGTTGAGGATAAAAGTACAATGGTGAGCAATTACTGATAATTTTAATTGCAATAAAAAAGGGGTGCGACAAATAAACATGTGAACGTAAGTACGCTTTAATAAAATCGTTAGTTTTCACCAATTTTGTGATTGAAGGTCTCAGTATTCGTGTGTGAATCATCTAGTCGATGATGCTTAATTTTTTGATATTCTTATGAATCAACACAAACTAGATGGTCATGCGATAACGTGCATCGACCAGTTTTGGTGATTTACGGCACGCTTGTATAATATTTTCCTTTTATCATTTTCCAATGCCAACCATATCTCTTTATTTTTTTCTAAAAAGTACATGCACGAATTAAATGTGAACATGCTATGTGAGGATATTCATAAATGACCCTTTTCACTTGTTTTTGTTGCATAGGTTTTCATTCCACTGACGGGGGAAAACTTGGTGCAATTTTTCCATTATGCATTCCATCTCATAAGCACCACTAAATATTCCGTTAAAATCTCAATCGTAGATCCCAATAATTCACACAATCTGAATCAGCGGTTCAACTGTCAATTCATACAATACCTCCTCCAACCCCACTTTTTTCTTTTGCTTTTCCAAAGGAAAGTAAAAGGAATCTAAAATCCCTTTATTCATCACCTCCCCGGAAGAACTCCGGCAGGGCGGAGCTCGGCAAAATGCTAGTGGAGAAAGTGGCTCCGTTGGAGGTTGATGATGACACCACCACAAACCAAGAAACCAGTGAACATGATGCAATCTCAGAGCCAAAATCTCAAGGATGTGATGAATTTTGCATATTTGAAATCAAGAAGTTGACTAAATTTCGTTGCAGGGTGGAAGATGCAATTCTTGAAAATACCCTGTTTGGGAAAAAGAAAAAGAAATTCTTTTCCAAAGGATATGACAAGAAAAATGAAGATAATTTGAAGGGCATTACTTTATGGGGTGTCCCTTTATTACCTAGCAAAGGTCATCAAGGGACAGATGTTGTCCTAATGAAATTCTTGAAGGCAAAAGATTACAAGGTGTCTGATGCATTCAAAATGCTGCGCAGAATGCTGAAATGGAGAAGGGATTTTGGAGCTAATGAAGTTCTTGGAGAAAATTTCGATCCCGGGCTCGAAAATACTTTGTTCTTGAATGGCAAGGACAAAGAAGGCCGCCCTTTGTGTTACAATGTGTTGGGGGAGTTTGTTGATAAGAAATCCGGGAACCAGTTCAATGAGAAAAGAGAGGCGTTTTTGAATTGGAGAGTTCATTGTTTAGAAAAAGGGATGCAGAATCTTGATTTTAAACCAGGTGGGGTGGATTCAATTGTTCAGATCACAGATTTGAAGAATTCTCCAGGGCATGCCATGAATGAAGTTAGGTGGATTAGCAAGAAATGGCTGATGCTGCTTCATGATAATTACCCGGTAATCGTTCACAAGAATGTAAGTTCGAGCTCCACTGAGTCCGAAAATAGCCTGGTTTACGAAGATTCTTATATGAGGAAATTAAAGAAAATTGAAAAGAATAATAGTTTTTTTCCTTAAGATTTGCAAATGAAGTCTAAGCATTGTGTTGTTGCAGTTTATTATAAATGTTCCTGGATGGTTTCTGGCTCTGCACGCTCTAAACTTGAGGCTCATTACCCAAAAGAGCAAGAACAAGTTTGTTTTCGTCAAGTCCTCAAGAGTTGCAGAAACCCTTCTCAAGTAAGTTTATTCTTCTCTAACAGTTTAAGCTCTTAGATGTAATAACGTCAAAATTTCATTGGATATGTAGGTATGCCACTCCAGAAAACTTGTTAGTTCAATATGGTGGCCTTATGAGAGAAAATGACACCGAGTTCTCAATAGATGACAAAGTTCTTGAAATAAATGCTAGAGCAAATACAACTGAGGGCATTCAGATACCTGTCAATGAGGTATTTAATACTTATTTTGTACAGTTCTGTCCAGTCGAGTAACCGCTTGTTCTATATAAAATTGACACAGGTGGATGTGACGATGACTTGGGACGTAACTGTGGTTGGGTACGAGGTGACATACAAAGAGGAATTCATTCCGGACGATGATTGTTCGTACAAGATTTTGCTTCAGAATGAGAAGAAAATGGGTGGAAGTGTAAGAAATTCATTTCACATTAGAGAACCTGGGAAAATAGTGATAACAATAGGGAATTGGACTTTCAAGAAGAAAAAAGTTTTCTACAGGTACAAGAGTAGGCCTAGCGTCCCAATGTATATGTTGAGGACATGATACACCAAACTTTATCTTCTGATATTGAAGTATATGGACAATGAAATTGTGTGTATAATGTATATAATTTTGGTTATTGTGTTGTTGACGTTGGAGTCTCTTGAATCAAGGGTAAAAAATACTTATAATCGGTCAAGCGTTCGAGTTGTTCGAAAATGACTACTCGAACGAGCAAAAGGTTTTGATTTCTTTTTTTCCTTCTTTCTTAATTCAACACTCCGGTCAATGTGCCGGTCATTCTTCTCCAATTAGACTATGCTTTGACCTGATCTCAATACCAATTCTTCAGCCCAGTGCAATTCCTATTTCATGCCCTATTCTAGACAAGTCAAGTTAAATCGACCTTCCCTCTCATTTCATGGTGAAGTGCGAAAGATAAATAAGGGATAGAGTCAAACCAGTTGGTACAAAGTATAAGATTTGGTGAGTTACTTTAATTTTGTAACTTTGTTCCTAGAAACAAAGGAACATCGTGCATGAGACTAATAATGTCAGAAAAATAGGTTCACTCATTTTAGTTTTTAATTTTTTATTAGTGTGTGCAGGATATCCACGAAATATATATTTGGGGAATTTATCAAAATGTCACTTTTTTTGAAAATGCACAAAAAACTTTGATGTGCACACAATTTGTACAAAAATGTCACTTTCTTGTTGTCAAATGTCTAAATTACCCTTAATTTGACCCTTTTTGGAGCATTTAATGCTCATTCATGATTGTTTTTCAACACAATTAATGTTGTGATTTGATTGTTTAATTTGTATATTATAATCATTGAATATATGAAAAATGTGAAGTATTCCATATTTAATGAAGTATTCAGTCATTTATTTATGAAAATAGGTTATGATGTTGTAGTTGAGAAATAATTATAAACATTAATGCTACCAAACATATTTGAAGCTTCTCGACAGTTTCGACAGTTGAACTGTCGAAGTCGACATTTCAAAATTGTCGGGATCGACATTTGAATTGTCGTACCCGACATTTATAAACCGTCGGAAAAGATAACTAAACTGTCGAATTAGACAGCTGAAAATTGTTGACACCCTTCATTTGACGTTGTAGTATTGCATATGTTTACATATTGGAACGTGTCTCTTCCATGCTATTATATAGTCGACATTTTAATTGCGCATAATTCTTATCGTTACACTCCCAACATTTCAGGTATGAACAATAATTTGAGATTCATTGCGTTGCACGGGGGAAAGTTTGTTACGTCAATGACGAATGGAAGTGGACTGGGGATAAAACCACTTCCATTTTAGTGCAGAGCAGTATTACACTATCGGGGCTATTGTTACGGTTGAACGAGAAACTTGGTGTTTTCGATTCGCGCACAAAAATGGAATTGAAGTTCAAAGTTCCGAACATGAATATACCGCCGGCCGAAATACTCGAAGATGAAGACGTAAATTGGTACATATCAATTCATAAGGAAACTGCCCTCTGCATTATGACTTTGGAAACCAGCCTGCCAAGTGTTGAAATGGAGAGGGATACAAATTACGGCCAACAATTGTTCACCGCAGCGGAAGATCACCACACCGTACAGGACGACGAGCTCAATCATCAGCAAAGTGTCCCAAACAATAATGCAACGGATTCTCCAATTTTCGATGTTGGGACTGCACCATTAGATGAGATGTTCGACGATCCCTTACACGGTACAAATACTGATAATATTGCTGACGTTGACGAAGAACTATTATCACATTCCAAAAGTCCGGATACATGCGACTGGATTTCCACTGTGAATATGCTGGATCTTACCGAAAGGCAAATATTTTTTACTAAAAAAGAGTTGTACTCGAGAATTCGTCTACTTGCTTTGCGAGAGAAGTTTCAATTTCAGGTTAGCAGGTCAAGCCAAAAAATGTTAACCGTTGTATTCGCGGACGATAATTGTAAGTGGATGTTACGTGATTCGAGTGTCAAGCAGTCTGCCATCTTCATGATCCGCAAATTCAACAATGTGCACACATGTTTCGTAGATTATCGTCGTAATGCACATCGACATGTCACTAGTTCTGTAATTGCTGAGCACATTATGGGGAAATTGGATAATACGTACGGATCGTATGATCCTACCGCTATTGCTCGTGACATGGAACGTGAGTTTGGTACGGAAATTAGTTACCATCAAGCACGTAGGGGAAAGGTCGTTGCTTTACATATGCTACATGGTACATCGGGTGATAGTTTTCAAAAACTTTCTTCATACTGTCACGTCCTAGGAGAGAGTAACCCGGGGACAGTAACACACATTGAAGTAGATTCTCGTAACAGATTTCACTACCTTTTTCTAGCTTTCGGTGCAAGCATTCAGGGTTACCTGCACTACATGAGGCCCGTTATTTGTGTTGACGGCAGTCACTTGAAAGGTCCGTACAAAGGTACCCTGCTACTGGCAACTGCCCAAGACGCCAACAAACAGATTTATTCGTTAGCGTGGGGGATTGTTGATGCCGAAACGATGGATATGGTTTTTATCAAATTTGAAAGATCTTATAGGTGAGTCGGACGAATTGGTGTTTGTTTCGGACAGGAAAAATAGTATTGAAAATGTCATTGCCCACCTATTTCCTCTGGCTCACCACGGGTGCTGTGTTTGGTATACGTAAAAAAATTAAATCCAGCTAGTACAACGACGCAAGTTCAATATTTCTATTCAAAAGAGTTGCAAGAACTTACCGGATCGAAGAGTTTGAAAGACTTATGGGACAGTTTCGTAGGGTTAGTGCAAGAGCGTACGGGTACTTGGAGCGAACAGGTTTCCTATTTTGGTCACGGGCACTGTTTGTTGGCCAACGGTACAACATTTTAACCAACAACAATGCAGAATCTTTGAACTCAATGTTGAGACATGCCCGTTCGTTACCAATCACGTGCTTAGTGGAACACATTCGGCATTCTATGCAGAAGTAGTTTTATGAACGTCGAGCAAGTGCAACCGCATGCAGTACCGTTTTGTCACCAACGATGGAGAATGAGTTACGGCTGACATTCGAAATAGGTACTAGGCTGCGAGCGCATGGCTTGACAAATAACTTAACACAAGTTGGAATATCCAACGACACGGACATCGTAGATTTCTCCGAAAAGACTTGCATTTGTCGTGAGTTCCAACTGAATCGTATGTCGGCATTCACACAACCCGTGCTGCTTGCTTGAGAGATAAGTCATTGTACGATCTCTGCTTACCGTATTACACATCCGAGTACTGGAAGGGTGCCTATGAAGAGGCTATATATCCTGTTCTACGTGAAGTGGACTGGAATGTTTCATCCCAAATTACAGGTACTCCTATTATGCCCCCTAGTGTGCCTCGTCCTCCAGGTAGACCACCCACACGATGTAAGCGATCTAGACAAGAGTGTACCACATGGCTTAGGAAATGCACTCGCTTCGGTGGACTTGGTCATAACTGGACCACATGTTCGAACCACACTGTACCACGTCCGATGTAAGCAGCATTTTGTACGTGAGTGGTTGAAGTTGTAAGTGAAGTGTTCTCCCGATGTCGTTTGTATATGACAATGTAAATATTGTATTACTGTTTTCATTCTCTTACGCATAAACATTACTCTTTGTTATGTTAGCATTTACAGTACGCAAATAGACACAACGTACTGCATAACAGGCTCGAACCAAAATATAATTTTGTTGTGCATAACATTGTTGCCATTGTTGACACATGTAAATTGAATGTAGGGAATATGAAAAGTTCAACCATTATATAAGTTTCCTTTGAAATGCATATTACGAACACATCATTTGTAGAGCATAACACTGTCCGTAAAGTTCACAAATTACGTTCAATGTACACATGAGGTTGTGTTCGTTCACCCAAAATACATGATATATGAATATGCATACTACATACACAGAAAATTTCCCAGTAAACCCCGACAGTTCATCTGTCGTTCCCGACAGATGGTTCCTGTCATTCTTGACAGTTGTTCGACGCTCCGCTTGACAAAATACAAAAAACACATAACTTGCCAAAGGGAGTTTCCTATATGCTACAGAATTGGTTAAGCGTCACAAAATCCATTCCTTACAAAAAAGCACTATACATACATACGTAGAAACCCACACACGCAACAAAGCTGGACTCTTCACTCGGACCTAACACTTGAACCATCTTCCCATCATCATCATCCGAGCTGATGATAATTACCTCGGGTGATGGAACGCGACCCTGCCCCTCATCCTTGTAACGTTCAACTTCGTTTGCATCCATAAATAGGACAACCCATTCAAGCAAATTTCTCGTAGACTCGCCTTCATCACCTGCAACTTCATCCAGGTTCGGAAAGGGAACGACAGTGATGGCTCTCGTACCACCATTCGAACTCTCTTCCCCATCGTCCGAAGAAATTACGATGGGACATAGCGGGGTTGAATTGGGTGTCGGCAACGGTTCCTGAACTGCCAGCGGTGAATTGCTTCCCGTGGACGATGCCATTGTTTTCATATGAAGAAACAGATTTCAAATACTGTGATACGTTCCTACTACAAGATGCCTCAGAAATAATCTCATATATCCCACTTGAAGAGTGCAAAACATGCTTTATACTGGAGGCATATGAGGACATTTAAAGCAATTTAACAACCAACCACCATTTCATTTCTACTTAACACTTGATTGACCATTGATATGATGGTTAAGGGTGTAAGTGTACTTTAATGCAGTTCATAAATGGTGAGAATAATGAGTAAATTGTACCCATGTGCAAGCCCTGAAATGGCAACATTCCTGCAATCAATTTGTACTTACATTACTTTATAGCATTTTTGTAGTCCTTAGTCACAATTGAATACAGTTTTTAAATTTTAAATCATATGAATTGTATGAAAAATTGATAAAATTCATGTCCCTGCCAATGAAGATGAACATTCAGTGACACAACAAGTCATTTTTCAAATAAACTTTAGTTTGTACAAACAAGCTAATTTATTCTAAAATGCATGTTCAAATAAACATACAGCAGTTGTAATGTTGGGGTCAACGTAGCAAAGATAACACTAAATTTTTCATACTACGGCAATGCGAATTTTACAATAATTATTGTCCTCGATCTTTCGACCACGCTCCATTACACACAAGATCATTTCATACCATGATTCATTTGTGCAGGTATAACACCTTCAACTCCATTGAAATTAAAGTACAAAATACTACTACTTCATCAAGTAGCATGAACATCAATTTAAGTAGAGTACAAACAAATGTCCTGTCTCAATGTGCGTTCCACTTAACCATATCCCAATATGGAATTGAAGTAATCTCCTAACCCCCCTTGAGATCATCAACCACATCATATGTGATACGATGTAATGGCCTCCACAGTTGCACCTTCAGGCATGATCTCAGGTTCGGATCCCTTTGGCTGTTTTTTGGTGCTATTAATTACACCTTTTCATCATTGTACAAAAATTAGTCATCACACCTCGATGAACGCACATGCTCAACTCAAAAATCAGCCCTCCGAATTAATATGCTACGTACCTGCATCAGGTGTCTGCTAAAGTGAAATGACAGAGTAGAGAAAGTTCGTAACTATCCATCCAATCAACGTAAGAACCAGAAAATTTACTCACCCATGGAGTAGGAAACGTGCAGACAATCTAATCACCAAAAAACGAACAACCCTTTCACATATCATAAACAATACATGCCATAAATATAATGATGAAGTCAAGATACAAGACAAGGAAGGCATCGCACCAGACCAACAGAGGCTCATGTTCGTTGGTGAACAGCTTCAGGATGGTCGTAGTTTGGGCGACTATAAAATTCATAAGGAGTCCACACTCCACTTGGTGTTGAGGCTAGGTGGTGGCAGACAGATTATTGTCAAAACCCTTATTGAGAAGACAATAACCCGTGAAGGTGATAGCTCCGACACCATTGATAATGTTAAAGCTACAATTCAGGACAAGGAAGGAATCCTACCAGACCAAGAATCAACTCTGCACTTCGTGCTGAGGTTGAGGGGAGGCATGCAAATTTTTGTGAAGATTCTGACAGGAAAAATCGTCAGTTCGTCTTGACAAGTCATATGACTGGGATGTATAAGAATGATGATATATTCATCTTAGTTATGATATTGATGTACCCTTTCACATGTCATGAACAATACATGCATTATGTCGTCAACGCATACACACAAAATTTACCGACACTACCATCCCATGCTTGCACTAAACATTTATTATAGCAAAACGATATGTACTATACAAAAGACAGTTTCACGTGTAGCATATTTCATGAACAATAAATGCATTATGTCGTCAACGCATGCACACAAAATTTACCGACAATACCATCCCATGCTTGCACTAAACATTTATCATCGCAAAATGATATGTACTGTACATAAGACAGTTTAACCTGTAACATATGACTGAGCAAACGTATTCGTTCATAAAAGAAACCAAATTAAAAGCATGTCTTTGTTACGAACAACATATCTACTACTACATCAGACCTTATCTAATCACTTGAACTCACTTATTTCTTTACTCTCTTTGCCCTTCCCCTCGTGTATGGAGTCCGGGTAGGTGGCCTGTTTGTGCTGCTCACATTGCCTCCCTCCTCTGGTACTGTTACTTGTGCCGGCAAGTCCGTGGCAGTGCCCATATAAAATATTTCAGCAGTTTAGTGAAAAAGTTCTATGTGAAGGACGCCACATAGTTGTGGAATAAGATTATTCAAGGAAAATAGGCACATACTGTCTACCTCGGTGACGTCATGGGTCGATGGGCCTTCCTCGTTGTCGTCGTTGGGGAGGTTGGGGATGGTCTCTCCTGGGTCTAGTTGAAAGGAAATTGGGTGAAATGGACAAACATAACATATGAATTATCATTTGCGTAGGCAGGAAGTGTTTGGTAATAGAACCCAAATCACAGAAGTTGGAAAAAATTACGCACATACCGTTCATGTCCTGCATGTCACTCTCCTCCGCTCGGTCGTCGTCCTGTGGGCTCTGTTCGTCTCTGCCTTCCCCGTCTAGTTGGAAGACAGAGAAAAAATTAATGAACGAGTGAAATTGAATACATATACATATGACAAGATGAGACGACAGAAGTTGAAAAAAATTGCACGTACCGTTCACTGCATACATTTCACCCTCATCTGCATGGTTGTCGTCGTGTGGGCTCCGTTTGTCGCTGCCTTCCCCGGCTACTCGAAAATAAATAATAATTTATTCAACGAGTTAAGTTGAAGACATTTGCATATCACGAGATGAGATGACATAAAATACAAAATTTACGCAAGTACCGTTCCCCTCCTACATTTCAGCCTCATCGCACGGTCGTCGTCATGTGGGCTGTGTACGTCGCTGCCTTGCCCGTCTACTTGGAAACCAAAAAAAATTAGTATTACAGTGAAATTCAATACACTTTTATATCACGAGATGAGATGACATCGAAGACAAAAATGTGTTATACATAACTAACTGACATACCATTCACTTCCAAGTTCCCGATAGGCGAAGGATGGCCACCGTCATTCGGGCACAGGTCCGTGTTGCCTCCATGTACATCTAAGTAATTTGGCAATTTCAAAAATACATTTGTAAGCGAACGCATTGGAAAAATTGCACACATATTGTAAGTGGAAGTTACAGTAATATAAACTCATACCTTCGTGGGGGTCGTCCCAAATGTTTGGCTCATTCACGACAGGAGCTGTAGCGAAAGTGGAGGTGCCACTAGACGGGGGCATCAAGGTAGATATGAAGTCCCTCAGTCTAGCGAACTCCTCGGTGAGGTGCTGCATGATTTCAAGCTTCACGGTCTGCAACCTCATCTCGAAGAGGATGCGCTGGTTATACAACATGCCCTCCACGTCCTCCCTCGTCAAAGTCGGTCCACCACGCGTACCCTGCACCCCAGATGTGGACGGGGCAACCACTGGAGTGGGTAATGCACCCGACTGTCGTCCCGAGGCATCCTCTTCGTCCTCGCTGTCACTAGCACTGGTCTTGCTGGAGGGGTCGCGAACGCTTTCTCCACTGTCATCATGCTTAGACCCATCGTCCCCGTTGCCCTCCGGTGTCTGATGGTCATCGCTCGCTGATGTCTCATCGTCCTCGACCCCTGCACCAGACTCGTCGTCATGCTCGTCACTCGCAGCGCTACCGTCATCTTCCCCACCAGCTGGTGCCGCCTCATGGAATTGTGGCTCGACAACACTCCTAGCGAGGTCGTCCAAAAACTACACCGGACAGTCGGGGAACGACACCAAACTGGCGATGTATGGCAGATCACGCTCGGCCTCCGTGGGACGCAGTGTGGCGTGCATGTGTATCTGTAGAAACAGGGGAGAACATGTAGTTAAAATATAATGCATACTATTCCCAATAAAACAAAATAATGGAAAGGCAAATGAAAAATGTCCATGACCTGTACGTCCCTGAAGAACGCATCGTATGTATGCTGCTGCGGTTGTTTGGTAAAGGTCCAGCACAGAAGTTGGGACGAGCGTTCACCCACCCGCTCACCGAAGCGTTCGCCAAGTTCGGGCATGTCCTCATATGCCCAGATCTGTCCGGACGATAACAAAAGAAATGTCGCATTAATATCTGTCCAAACACTGTGGAGACATGGTCTAATACTGACAAACAAAACACAGAAACATAATGTTGTTCTTACCTGCATGACGATCGAAAATCCGTGAATTATGTAACTGACGTCCTTCTCGTTCTTCGTCTTTGCATTGCTCATTTTACGTGCCCAAGTACCCCGGAATTCCTTCACCAAACGCCTATACCCCACTTTGGCCTAGGAAAAAAACAGCTCGAGGTCGTCCACAAGGGCAAGCGTATCCTCATTAATGTCGACATTGTTGTCCGAAGCAGTGATAACTCCTTCCACAATTAGAGTAAGCCTGAGCTTGTATCTATCTGCCCGGGTGTTGACGCGCGGAGAAAGGCCTTCTCCAACTGGGCACATGAAATCTTCTCGAGCGATTTGAAATATTTTTCCTTCAGCCTCCTCTTCTCCAATGCTTTTGTGTACCGATCGTCCTCTGGAAACGACCCAGCATGTTGTCCAGTGACGATAGCATACTCATGCAGTCCAAACCGGGTGAGGTGGCCCTGCACGTTGAACCACAACTCATGAAATTTATCGCAACGGATCCCTCGGCACACCAATGCTTGGATTAGCTGAGCGAAGAAACTGGATCTCTGAAACGTCAGCGAGAAACCCAAGACAAGAGTCGTGAAAGTCAGCCCGAAGTCGGTCGTCCAAGTTATCCATCACAGTTTTAATGTATTTCAAGTTGCTCCGTTGCGAGAAATATCTGCAGATGAAACGATAACGGTCATACCATAATTTAACAGCAACTGAATATTACAAATTACAAGCGTACTTCCGCAGAGCATACAACCACATGAATTGGAACAAGTAATACGAGAAACGTATAAGAATATATCATCTACCCAAACTTGCAGTAAACATTTATTATGACGAATTGTGCTTGCAATCTTCAACAAAAATTTGTTAGCAAATTTTTTTGTAATGTGCGAAAATACGTGCGGTAATGAGATCTGAATGTTCGACAGACATGTTTCTCGATGCACGTGTAGTGTCGTCTGTGCCCACCGTCATGTGTCGAGACACTGTCACCGAAATCTGTGTCGACAGATGACTGCACTCTGCCTTACAGTGGCATACATCGACTGTCGAGAATGCCTGTAGATAACTGTCGGGATTTAGCCAACTGTCGAGAATAATAGCAGCCAAATGTCGGGAACGACAGTTTTCAACATAAATATGGCATACGTATGCATGGTGCCCCAACCCACAAACTTGCTACATAACAGCGGAAAACCAGGCTCCCGAAAATTTACAAAACGCTTTAAAACTTTGATGTTACATATGCATAGTGCCCTATATCAAAATGTAGAACATGCCCAAATTCGGTCATCCCAAAAATCACAATGAAGGTGAAAACGTGGATGTTAATTCTACAATGTCATTTGATAGCCAGCCATGCAAATAGGTATGAATGTAAACACATCGAAGCAACCAAGTAAAAAAGGACCGTCATAGTAGAAGGCAAGCAAACAAAACTAGTTTTCCCTTTAGAACTACATCGAAAATACCAAATGATGCAACTGCGCATCGAGCAATCTAAGAGATATGCAAAGCAGCAAGTTGGTTTGTGAATTTCTTGTGCGAGATAAGTTCAATACATATTCGTACATCACAAAAACAAGATAGAAGAAAGTGCTTTCACCTCGTCTAGTTGTAGCAGTTGCAAAGAGTCATGGACAGATACATCTCTTTTCTTCCTCCACACTCCACAAAGTTTGGTTCTGCAACAATAGAAAGAAATGTTGCGCATAAAAAACGTATTGAAGAGGAGCATACATTGAAATTGCCACATTTCTTGAATACCAATCTCCAAATATTTTAATTATTAAGCATTATAAACTGAAAGTGTATATCAAGTATAACCAAAAGTAATATTAAAACTAATTTCTAATGGTCAAATCCCTTTTCCAAATCAGCCCACAGAATATTGATTACTATACGTTACACCTAAAGAATTCATGGTTTTGATAGAGACCACAGTGCTGAATGCTAACATGTGAAGCAAGGATATCAAGTTCACGACATATGTATCAAGAGATTGTTCATATTCACACATGAAGAATACTGAAATCAAGAAACTAGAAATTGACTTCATAACCCAACTAATTGATGCTTAAGCAATTATAAAGAGAAAATACACTAAATGCTTACGGTTTCGTGTATATCCAATTCAATCTGGTATTCTCATGCAGTACTACTGCATTTGATTACCTAAATGAGTTTAATGACGAGCAAAAGAACAACAAGCGGAAATGATGATATTCCATCATTAGCAGCTTCTTGAATGTTCAGGATTTTTGTAACTTAGTTGTAAATCTCAATAATCTCAAAAGACGTGACCTTCTTTCAACCAAAAAAAAAAAATGGTCCTCATTGAGAACAATGCATTTTTTCAGTTCCACCTTAAACCATTCTTGGACTTATAAGTCTTAACTGGCAGAATTTGATCACTAGCCGCATGATGCAGCGTACTATGAAGCTCCTTCTTGAAATAAACACTCAAATATTGACCACTGTCTAATGCTTCATTCATCCTAACAACATCCTTTGACAAAAAACCAAATGATGACCAAATTACAAACAATGGAGTATATAGAGGACCATACAAGTTACAAACACATGCACAATCACATCTAAAAATACACACAAATAAACAAACACATTGAGAACAATGCATCTTTTCAATTTTAGTTTTCATCTCCAACTCCAATCCACAAAAAACCATACATCCATAAACAAACCCATCTAAAAACACACACAAATAAACACCAAAATGAAAACCCAATTAATCAATTTCAAAAATGGCAAAGAAAAAAAATGCAACCACAGAATCAAATTCACTTACGTACGTGTAGTACTCGGCAGTCGGCTGCCGACAGAGAGGACCGACTTTCAAGGATTTAGGGACTTCGGTGAGGGAGAGGAGTTCGCTGGCGGTGGTGGATTTGGTTACAGAGAGGACCGACTTTCAGGGATTTAGGGACTTCGTTTCGTCTTCCTTTCCTTCACGGCATTTTGGGTCGCCATCGGTGGTCGCTTTCGTCACAGCGACGAGTGACTTTTACAGATTTATGGATTTCGATTTCTCTTCCTTTCGTTTAGGGCATATGGGGTTCGCCGGCGGTCGTCTATTTCGCGAGAGAGAGGGCTGAATTTTAGGGATTTTAGGGATTCAGTTTTCTCCTTTCCTTCACACGATTTCTCTTCTTCGAATGGGAGAGGGGAATGGAGCTTGCATTTTCGTTTTTGCTCTGCTTATTTTTCTTCAATAATTTAATTTCATCTGACAATCTTTCATAGTTTTTTACAATTTGTTTGATTGGTCAAATCAAAATTTCATTAGGATATGTTGGGTAATTTATATTTAGCTTTAAGGCTAGATATATCTAAAATTATTTACAATTGACATTCTTGCAATGTTAAAAAATAGGTGACATTTTTGTAAATACAAAGAGAAAAGTTGACTATTTTGATAATTTCCTCTATGATATAAATAATATTTTTGTTGTCCTTTGACCCTAGCTAACAACATGAATTTTTCACAGGTACCTTACAAGAACCTGCTGTGGCACAATCTTGTCTGTCAATTTTTTTTTTCATTTTTTTCATCCGTCAATGCTGTTTCTACACATGTTGTTTGTGAAAAAAATCCTGTGAAGAATCCCTGTACGTGTAGCAGAATTCTATTCTTTAAGTAGAAATAACACAATTCATTAAAATTGTAACAAAATCGGGATATAATGTTTTGTATTATTGCTTACAACTAGGTTATATATATATAAAAGAAAATGATCTAATGAGAACCGATTTTTAGCTTATGTTAAGCACCAGCGATTAGCTTATATTTATAAAATCATAAAATTAGAATAGTTCCAGAAAATTACAAAAGTTTGAGGAAAACTATGGGATGATTTTTAAATTATGGAAATAATACTCTTGACAACTTTTATGATGTATTACGTAGTGATACTGATGACATAAATATTAGTTTATGCATCAATTTAGTTTTGGTTTTCGAACTTTCTTTTTCATTTTTATCTTTCACTTTCATTTCAATCATTCTTCTCACGAATTCCTTAAGAGCAAAGGAAAAATGATAATCGAAAAATGAAAGGTACATATATGCTAAAAAAGGTGTTTGAGCCTACCCATATTGATTCTTGACTAGTGGCCATGGATTGAACGTAAGTTTCAAGCTATTTTAGAATCTTTGCGAGTAGGAAAATGGCAAGCAGATGCAGTTATAGGGAAAAAAACAATAATAATTTAAGAAAAAAGGCATATATTCTAATTTCCACACTTATATTTATAAATTTAGATAAGGCATATTCTTTATTTTTATGCTCTTACTTTTTATGTAAAATTTCTAAGAATCAAATAAAAAAAAATCATTTCTCATCGAAATAAATGGTATCATCAAAGCTGTTCAGACTTTTCTAATTAATATTTAATGAGAAAAATAATATTATATATATTAATTAATTAACTGGAAACGTTATATTTAACAAGATACTGTGTATATTATAATGCCTCATATTAATTTTTTATCAATCAATATAAAAATTATATGTTGAGAAGTAATAAAACCGTAGTAAGGAAATTAAGACACAAAAACACTCAAAATTTATAGAGGTTCATCTCAATGTGACACAGGTACTCGTCCGTCACATTTATTTTAAGAATACTTGTGAACTTGGAGGTGAATAATTAATTGTTCGTAATAACAGATACTGAACAATAGGAAACAATCCAAAAATATGTCAAATTTAATTCAAAAACACAAATGGTAAATAAAACAATAGCAGTAAACACTGCAAGTAACTAAGTGATTATCTATTAAATATTAAATATATTAATTTGTTAACACAACATTTTGTTATCTAATTAAAAGGAATCAGGAGCATCTTTTCGTAACTTTTGCAGACAATTAGCGTAATAATTAAGTGATTAATTAAGCTACTTAATTTCTTTATTATTAATTATCCCAGAATAATTCTACCTATGACCACTATAAAGAACAAGCTCCTACATTTTTGTCCAGCAATCTTATCTCTCTGCATCTCTAATGTCTTGCTTGAATTTGAGAAGATTATTGCCTCCAAGAAAAGTGTGGAAGGTAATAACCAGCAAATTTCAACTCACACAGCAAAAATCCAAAGCGATCAAGAAAAAGAAAACCCGATCCCGAAATGCTTCCAAGAAACTTTCATGGCTAAAACCAAACCTTTCGATTCAACCAAAGAAATTCAAACACAAAAAACCTCCCACTTTAGGCTTTCAATGTCACAGCCTGTGTCATCTTCAACAAAGAACATCTCCTGCGTACGTTCATAAGCTGTTTATACAACCTATATCTATAGTCAAAGAGCAAGAAGTGGAACACTTGAGTGAAAATATGGAGAAATGTTCATCAAGTAGTTTAAATGAAAGTGGGTTTTCTGATTATAATCAGCAAAATAATTATTTGCAAGAATCCTGCAAGGACGAGAGCATGCATGAAGCAGATGATATGTGGGAATCATTGGTGTTGGCATCACCACAAATGAATGGAATTAATGAGAGAGCTGAAGAGTTTATTGCCAGGTTCCGTGCTGAGATGAAGGAGCAAGAAATTTTGGCTCGTAGATCGTAACTTTTTCTTTTCTTTTTTTTCTTTTTCTTTTTCTTTTTTTAAATATGATTTTCTACTCTGTATATTATTTTTAAAGTAATGCTATTTTGAACCATGTAGTTTTGACACTCTTCAAATATTATTTAGGCCATGTTTGATACAGCTTAAATTTTGATAAAAAATTATGTTAAAATTAACAATTAATTTTAATCACACATTTTATAAGATCCATAATTTTTATCAAGTTTTTAGTTATACACATTTTACAATCTTTAATGAGAATCCACTAAAATTCTGATTGTTAACTACACAATACATCGATGCAATTTTGTTCGATATTGTGTATTTTCTATTTAATACTTGTCATGCTTTATATAATCTACTGTATAATTAGTTCAAAATAAAGTTTTAACTCATTAAATTATAAGTGAAAGATAAAAAGATGATTATCACGAGTCTAGGTAAAGCGAGATTCTTGATTCATTGGCTAATGAATCGGATGCGACAAGTACCATTTTTTAATAAATTAACCGTACTTGATAAAATATAAAAAAATTTGGTCTTCCACGTCAAGATGAGATGTGAAGATGTCATACTTTGAACCTGAATGATGACGTCTATGTCGATTTTTTTTCCATTTTGCCAACGTTATATAACTGTATAAACTGGTCTGGTGTCCTGTATCCACCACTAATAAAACGAAATAATCTGCTTAATTTGTAGTAATTTAATCTCATTCAAGTGGTAATTAATTAAGTAGAAAATAATGCTAGAAACTCCAAAAAGAACGGCAAATATTAGGACAAAAATAACAATTCTATTACATTGTCAAGAATGGCAACGTCATGTCCAAATTCTTTATTTATTAATTATAATTCCCTATAATGACATAAGTAGGCTACAATTCTCTCGTCCCAACACGAAATAAACAATTTCTGTGAATACAAGCTGCAAAATTTCCTGAAAAAGTCAAGGTTTTACCTCGTACGCATGACACTAAAATGAAAAACGACATCCTGTTCCATCAAGAAACTGATCAGTATGCCACCCTTTAGACTGCAGCTCTGAGAGAAAGGGAGAAAATACGCTATTCATCCTCTCATATGCATCCTGCAATGCAATCTCAGTAGACAGATTGAAAGACTTCTCTATATCTGCAGCATATGCAGCAACCAGCCACCCCCTCAAAGCGTCTTCACCAGTCGCGTTGTGCTCCAATATCATATCTGTCCATCTAGTTCTGAGATGTAAAATGAATTTTCCCTCGGGAAATGTTCTTTTTATCTGGTGAAGCTTCGAAGGCTTGACGGCCTTGTGTAAAGGCCTTCCAACCATAACATTTCCCGCTTCCTCGATAAGCCGGCTGGGAAATAAGAGATCTTCTCCATACCTTAGATCAGCAGGACTAGAAATTTTACCTGTCTGTTTCAGTATTGGAAAATATATAAGTTGCCCGAATTTTGAATATCTAAAAATATCTCAGGCTAGCACATTTGGTAAGAGACCTTCAAAAAATCTGCCACGATCATTGCGGTTCTCTGTGGATTTAGTGTGTTGACAGGAGCAGCTCGCATCTCTTCACAGACACTGTAAATATGTAGTACAGAAAGAAGAGGTCCAACCACCAACTGCAAGATATTAGACACAATGAGAGCAACTATACATCTCTGGATAGAAAAATCTTAAAAAGTGTAATCAACAGTCACAAATACTACTCAGCATAAATGAATACTTACTACTTTAGTTAGCTCAATTAATTTACCACGTGGACTAAATATAGAGCCAAGTAGCAAAGAAAAGTATTGGCATTTCACATTTCTTCATAACGAAACTTATGGATAGTGAGAGACCTTAAAAAAAATAAAAAAAATACAGATTTGTTAGTTCTGTACTTGGTTTTGTTATCATAATGTACTATGTACAGCATTCCAGAACAAAAACATATTAATGGTAATTCATAATTCAATGGAGATAAGTAGATGCAGAATGTGAAATGGAAAGTAGGAGAGGAGAGATTGTCAGAGACGAGAAGAAATAAGGGGGCTATGACACGAGTTGTCACGAGTCTAGTCTAGCAAGCACTGGATCGCTAACCACTAGTTTGCCAACCCAATTGATTTACACAATAAGGTGGGCTATATCATGAGTGATCACGATTCCCCAAAGTACCATGACACATTAACCTGCATTTCTTTTAAATGATTAAATAATAAAGCTTTGTAATGGATCCATTTACTTAAAAAATAAAATATGAAGTTCGAATAACCCTAAGCTAAAAGTCTAAAAATGCACATAGATAGCAGTGAGGAGTCATAGTACCTTCCCCTGCATAGTTGAGCAAATAGTAGAAGCTAATTGAATTCCTGCACCTATTCCAACAACATTAAAGAGTGTTGAGATGGCTTCGCCTTTTGCAAAAAGGTCACTGAGATTTCCTTCTCTGGCAAATGAAGAATATATAGGCAATCTTGTCGCCCTTGCAGCAACAACTGCCATTCCCTGCCAAACAATGAGTTTTTTTCTCCTCACATCTCAAATATCATCACTTCAATAAAATATCAGCAGAAACTTGAATTATCATATAAGTTCAAGAGAAAGTAAAATGCAATTTAACCTTGGCGAAGTTCCCAAGACCAGCCATTTCAAGAAATAAGTGTGGACATAAAGGAGAAAGCACTTCCAAACCAGTACCCAAGTCATAGAGAACATCCGCTGCAATTAGGAGGGTTCATTCCTCTTATATATCTTGTAAAAAGACAAACAACACTACATAATCGAAGAAAACACAACAGTAGCAGCAAGTATATCCAAGTATACAAGAGTAACAAGACAAAGTAAAAAATAGGAGACTTCATGCTCAAAATCCAAAATACAAACCCAAAATCCTCCAGCGTTTTGGTTCTGAGTCCATCCTTGCACCCAAATTGCTACATATGAGCTTCCCGACATGTTGCATGCCATCCTTTAATATCTGCATGTGATCCAGATAACGTAGCAGAGCCCAAATGAAAAGGGACTTTTCTAAAACTCCATTTAGTTTGTTCAACACTAAAATCATACCCAACTAACAGCAGTAGCCTGCGCAGGGGTAGGCCGTAAGCCTGCAGCAAATAGCAGAGACTGGAAGGGAGTAAGTAAACTTAGAAATGTTCGTTCTGATCAAGTGAATAGGAAATTGTTTACTCTGCTGTATTAGTTGATATTAAATTCATAATATCTGTAAAATACCTGAGTTGATAATACAGACAATGCTGCACTTGTGAAGTGCTGCAAGGCGCGGAATTGTGTGTATCGAAGATATCCCTCGTTCACACTGCAGATTGGATATGCAGAAATTTAAATTAATTAAATAAAGTAGGGCCCAGGTTTGTGGTTTTGTACAATTATCTGAAAGGGATTTAACCATGTAATACCTGTATGGGTATCCTGAAGGAAAGAACTTATTCAGAAAAGATTCAACTATTCTACGGGTAACAGGTCTAGAATCATCAACTATCTTCACCTGAAATGAATTTCAATCAAAGTTCACAAGGGAAACCAGGTAAAAGAAAAGATTAGTCATCCAATCACGACCCTCCAGAGAGTGAAATTTAACATCAATATATTGAAATTCAGGCTTGTAATTGATTCAGTATCGACACAAATCATTTTCCCGAAAATACTGCATTTGACTGAAGTTAGAAAATTACCTGTGGGAAATGCATTTGAAAGCCATGTCAGGAAAAGGAAATAATAGTTCAGGGTCAAGTAAAATGAATGCACAAACTCGCTCCTATATCCACCTGCACCACACTCAAATGTTTTCAATACCGAACACCTCACCCTCTCGTGCTTGGTATTTAGGGCGGTATCACCACCTTCACAACACTATCCACCATCTCACCGTCATCAGACTTTCCCCATTTTTCTTTTTTCTTTGTTTGTGATACAATAGAAAAGGAATATATTTTTAAAAATCAATCGAACCCCCCACAAAAGGAACAAGAAATAATTTTTTCCCCAACTGAAACCAACCTGAAGAACGCAAGACCAAATAATAACAACAAATGCTGTAAATCAAAACGGAATTCTTGACAGAAGTTAGCTACATGGGCGAGCAAAATTTTGGCTAAACACGAAACACACACATATAGGTGATACAATTATCGCAATAATTAGCAAGACCTAGTGTGAAGCAAGTATAAAGTGGACTCACCAAGAGTTGACCATCAGGTTCGAACTGAAAATGTCGAGACACTGAATCTGAATTTTCAATCCAATAAACTGGGACTTGGGGAGGCGGATTGTTTGCCTTCTTCTTTGGCATTTTTATCTTTTCCTGCAAAATGAACAAGAATTTCAAAAGCCCAAATAATGCCCAGTAGTAAAGAGGGGGTGGGAGATTTTGTATGTATTGCTACGATAAAGATAAAGTTAATAGAGAGAGAGAGACCAAAAGATTCATGCTGTAATTTGGCAAACTGGAAATTCAGCCGCGGGAATCGGAATTTGCCGATTTGGGCCTTCGGAAGGGGAGGAGGCCTTGGAATTTTGAATGAAAATAAAAACGACGCCGTCGAGGGAGTTTGTTTCATTTTCAAGAATTTATGTGTATGAATTGCCGCTTTTTCTTTAAAAATTATTTTTGCTATATTTTTGGACCCGATAATGACTTGTCTATTAAACCAGTGACCTCTAACCTGGTGCATTAGTCAGATCGATGACCAGTATATATTAACAAGCAAAATAACAATGAGCTCAACTTTGTTTCAAGAAAAGAATGACCCTTTTGGACACACTAAACCCCCGACTATATTTAAGCTCTTTTTTCGACATACTCATTTTCAATTACACATTCATACAATAAAACTCTACTTTTCAAAAAGTATGGTTGTCAAACAAGGTGTAAATATGATGCGGAATCTAAGATATTATATACGGAAAATTCGAGCTTATGGTAAATTATCTTTACAACAGCCAAAAGCACTACTTTGGCAGTAGTTGGATGGCCATCCAATAACTTGAATTAAATGGAAAAATGGATAGCAATGTCATCCAACATCCTGCGAACAGTCGACATTCTAATTATCTATAGGAAATAATAACTACATCATATCGGGATCATCTTCATAGTCAAAGTCGGCTTCACTTGACTGCCTTCTCTTTGCATCTCTTGGACCTCTACCCTTTCTTGGTTTTCCTCTGTAGAATAGTAAGGGAAGAAAAAAGAAATGAATACAAGTAGCATTCATGATTTAGATTATAGTGACAAAGCTAAATGCTCACGGTCCATTTGCAGATACGCCTCCATCTCGTGCAACTTCTTCAGTCTGAGACACAGACAAAAAGAAAACAGGATCAAAATGGGATGGATCCAGCCAAAATTTATATTATATACACAAACTTTGAAGGCAGAAATACGCAGTGTCATAAGCTCAAGAATTATACATATGAGGGGAAATACGACAAATTTTACGTCGTCAATTGTCAGACTAATTTCACGTCAGTCCTAATGTATGATGACTTGTTCTCATGCTTGATCTGAAAACATTATTTTTAATGATACTGACAACAGAAACAAAAATGCGGAATATGCAAGTATAAACTCATACAGCTGGTGAGGTCACTGAAGATAATGAAAAGAGCCTATCTTCAGGCTGGAACTTCCTGGATCGCTTCAAGCTGAAGCCAAAATTTCGAAAAAGAAAATGCATCAGTAAATCAATGCTCCTAGATCCATTCAAGTTGCAGCTAAATTTTAGAAAAAGAAATATTTGACACTAAAGACAATGAAAAATTAAGCAATAACAGCTGTGGGTAACTGAACCTATGCATTTGTGATGCATACATTTTCTTGGATTATTATAACTTAATATTTGCATGAAAATTACAAATCCAGTTTCACTCAGCACCATTAATAATAATAACCTGCAAGCACCATACGTTTCTCAGAAGAAATGCATATTTGCTGATGAATATTGTTAGTATAATAATAGTTATAGTTCATTTAGTTTCATTATCAAGCAATAATTTTGGTGGAAAAGCTAAACAGTCATCTTTATCCTCCCTTTGATTCAATCTAATAGACTCTGCGAGGATAGAGGTGAACAAAGACTTAAAAGCATGCTGGTATTGGACCCAAAGGTCCTTGCAGTAGGAACCATTAACCAGTTTAACTTCCGTATTCGTTTAGGTTTTGACTCCACTTATTTTAAGTTAATACAACCCTTGATTTGAACTCAATTGTTTTCGGTTTAATATGGTATTGATAGCAATAGCAGTTTTTCCATTTTGATTTGATGTAAATTTTTTCAAGAAACTTTTTCAGTCTTTGGATGGGATGAAATTCCTAACATTTTAACCTGAAAATATTTCACATGCAAACATGCAAGTCAGGTAAGCAATTTTGTCGTTACATGACATCATTAGACAATAATTCAACCACAATCAAGTCTCCCACCTCCACCCACCATTGCCAGCAGCCATCCACCCAAAGGAAAAGAAAATTTTATTATATCAACGAAACGCCAGAAAATTCTTCATTTAAAACAATTTCCATGGAAAATATTTCAGTCAGGCAATGTTTTTTATATTAAAAAAGGAACCAAGGCATTAATGAGAAAATCTAATGCATAATAAACTTTGTACTTCATAACTACGTCAAACTGAAAAAAGAAAAAGCTAAATCAAATTCTTTTACAGTGTAGTGCTCTTGGAGGATGACAAAAACCCTTCAAAACCTTTCAAGACATTGCCACATTGGCTTGGATCCTGTAAATAACTCGTCTCCATATCATAGACCTGTAACACCCATTAAAGAGACATTACATAACAAGTTTGTATATACCTAAATAAACCTATATGTTCTTGAAAATGACTTGAACAAATAAATGTACACCCTCTGTAAGAGCTTAAGCAGATATAAGACGGCTCAACACAGTAAAAAGACGAGAATTCAAGGTCTTCCCGCTACCCATTTATAAAGATTATGATCATGGTAGGCTTCTTAAAAAATATATAATTGTTTTTACATGTGCCTCTGTTGAAGACTAAATTTACATAAACAAAAGTGACCTCGCATAACAGCAATTCAGTTTGACCTGCTTTTCGATGTTTCGAAGTTCTTCGTGGAGCTTTGCTCTTTTGCACAACAAGGAAGCCAGAATTGCCGAGGGATTTGGTGATCTTTGCCCTGAAAAGAAAAGGAGAAAATCGATCTGATGTAAATAAATTTAAAAAAAAAAAACATTTTAGAAAACAAATATTTGGAATGGAAAATAAGAAGGATATTGTTCAACGGTAGACTTACCTTCGGATTCCATGATGGAATTGGAAAACTAAAGTCTAGGAATTTGATCAAATCGGTTCGTTCGGTAGGCCCAAATATCAGGTGCAATCGGATCACAAAAGAGGGCAAAATATGCTATGTGATCTGTTAATGGATGAATCACAGCTGCAAAACCGTAAAAATTATCAAATGACAGAATTCAAAAGAGGGGTGGAGCCACGATTCCGTACAATTAACAGGCCCGGTGGCGACAGAACAGTGGTGGTCAGAATGATAACGGGAGAGGAGGAAATGGTGTTGCAGCGCCTCGTGTAGAACTCCCCCTGCCCGGCGGGAGGTAGGGTTCACTTCAATGGCGATAGTAGAAGTTTGGGCCGAGTTTGATTTCAGATTTTCACTTTCGGGTCAGTTTGATTGCAAAACCGGAACCGATCTACATATTCAAGGCCTGAGACTATATTTGGCCCACCCCTACAAAATTCTCTAAAATATGATTATGTTGAAATCACTTTGTCAAACGATAATAAAAATAAAAAATAAAAAAAAATAATTAAGCTTTTCAAAAGTTTATTTTTGTCTAAATTAAAATTGATACAAAACAGATATATTCACAGGTAGAGCATAGAAAGAGAATGGCAAATTGAGTAACTTATGTTGAGAGTGCAGCTTCTGAATTTCTTATTATTATTATTATTATTATTATTTTTTTTTTTTATGACCATGGGTATTCGGGTCAATTCACGCGCACCTTGATTCATTCTACGGGACCTTAAAGTTTACAGTCGGGTACTCACCTTAATGACCATAAGCGAGGCTTCTGAAATTTTAGCTCTGAAATTAAAACTATCTATAATACTTAAAAAAGCTACTAACAATTGTTGCGCGGAATTTGACCCTTCTTTTTAAATATATTTTTCCTAAAACTTACTTTTAACAAAAAATCTAATTTTTAAGTTTTAGCTAAACCAAACATGGGTACGTTTCATCCCCTCATTTGCAAGTTGAATATTCACACTCCAACTCCAGATGAGTTATATATATGAGCAATTTCCTCGCTCTTTTTCTCATCTTTTGAAGAGAGACGTACGTGTATATTTATTTGAGCAACATTTGAACATTCAATATTTCCTCATAAGCTCAATCTGGTTTATTCGTAGACATTCTACTACCGGATAGTAACACCAAGGAAATTACACTAGAACTCACCTGATGTCGCATGTACAGATTCAAAAGATAAGACTTGCAAACAAAACGAAAATCCAGAAATCAAACAACTATTGGGTTCTTTTTTTCCTTCGGCATACTGTCTGATGTTGTCCCGTCGATTTTATGAAACATCCTTGTACGTACTCTTGTACACAACTTGAACTGTTTTATGTGCTATTCGATTAATTCGTTTCCTCATTTTTCACCTGACATTTCGTCCGGAGATTTTCCATTCGTTTCCGGAACCAAGAAAGTGAATAATAAGCCCAAAATGTTGATTACGCTCGACACGAAGGGCGAATTCTTTACTCCAATTCCTGCTGGATACCTGTCATCAGCCCTTACCTTATCCTGATTTTGAGCTAGGTACAAGAACCCGAAAAGCACCAACAATTGCTAGATATCCGGCATCAGCCTTTTCGTTCTTATTGATTGTTTCGTCCAAATAAATTGTTAAATACATGAAAAGACAGCTTTACCCTCTAATTCAGGAAAAAAAATAAAAAATAAAAAAATGAAGGTGATGCTGTCTCATTGTGAAAAATTGGAATGATTGACCATCTTAATCATCTTTGAAAATAGCACAACCCACCAAAAATATCATGGAAAACTTGCCACGCTCTTTGAAATTTCTGGAGCACCGCAAGGTCCACAACAATGACAGTCCGGATGGAATGTGTATTTGGAATTTGTTAATTTCTTTAATTTCTTTTTGTTGTTTAACTACTATCTGTGAGTGTGTGGAAGAGATCACTGATCAGACATGGCTTTTGCTGCGGTTAATTCTCTTACTCGGATTCTTGAGCAGATGCTACAGCATCAGCATGTCATTCTTCCCAATAGACAACGAGTTGAATCTCTTCTCAAAGAGGTTAGTTTGTTCGAAGATATTCTTGAAAATTCTTCAACAAAAAGTAGCAAAAAAATAAAGTCTTTTGAGAGCCAAATCATAATTGCAGCGAAAAGGGGAAAAGATCTCATTGAATCCCGCATTAGGGATCAACTTATTGGAACATCTCCGTTGTGTGGTAATGTTCTTTCAAAATCTGCGATGTCGGATTACAACTTAATATTCTCATCTCACTGCTTGAAGAAATTAAAAAGAGAAATTGATTTCATAAAGCAACGAGTGATGAAGATTGAGGAGGAGATTGGAGTAAAAGAATGCACTCCTGCTTCTGATTCATCAAGACCTGCTGCCTCCAGTTGCAAGATCACTATGGTGGGTCTTGAAGATGATTTCATGGAGATCAAGACTCGGCTAGTTAGAGAATCGTTGGCACTTCAAACTGTTTGTGTTGTCGGGATGGGTGGAATCGGTAAGACCACTATTGCTAGAGAAGTTTACAATGATTCTTTTATTTTGTTTCGGTTTGATACTCGTGCTTGGGTAACAATATCTCAATCTTATGATGTTCGACAAATCATAATCGGCCTTCTAGATTCCATGGAAAAGCTCACCGAAGAGATTGGTAAAGAGAGCACTGAACGATTATCAGAGCATTTGTACAAGAATCTAAAGGGCAGGAGGTATTTAATTGTAATGGACGATGTGTGGAATACGAAGGTTTGGGATGATTTGAGAAAACTATTCCCAAATGACAACAATGCAAGTCGAATCCTGCTGACTACTAGACTCAAGAATGTGGGTGTTTACGTCAACTCTAGTCCTCCTCTTCATGACATGCATTTTCTAAATGAGGATGGAAGTTGGAAGTTGTTTCGTCAAAAGGTGTTCGGAGAATATTCATGCCCTCTTGAACTAGAGGAAATTGGAAAGAAGATAGCCCGAAATTGTGGAGGACTTCCACTTGCAATTGTTGTGATCGGAGGCCTCCTTTCAAAGGCCACAAAAACACAACATTATTGGAGAAATGTTGCTGAAAATTTGACTTCTGTAATAATTTCAAATGATGAGCAATGCTCAAAAACAATATCTTTAAGTTATAATCATTTACCTCATCATCTGAAAGACTGCTTCCTCTACACCGGAATTTTTCCAGAAGATTTTGATATCTCTGTCTCCAAACTTGTCAAGTTATGGGTTGCTGAGGGATTCATAAACCAAATGGGATCTAAAAGCTTGGAAGATGTAGCATATGGATACTTGTTGGATCTTGTTGACAGAAGTCTTATTTTGGTTGGTGAACAGAGCTCTGTAGGCAAAATTAAAACATGCAAGATCCATGATATAGTAAGGGATTTTTGCATCAGAGAAGCTAAGAAGGAGATGTTTTTGGGTATCACTGATAAGAGTCTCAACGATATTCCAGTAGGCACTAGTCTATGCCGCCTAAGTGTTTATCCAACTACAACAAATATTTTTCCTTGTGATGATAAAAAACTATCTTCTTTACAAGTGAGCTCTCTTTTTAGTTTTGATCGGCATTTTAATCATTCAGTACAACATCTAAATCCTCGGCCCCTCAGAGTATTGAACATGGTGCGAACGCTTGGCATTGGTATTCAAGGTGAACTGAATGAATCACTATTTTATAACTTGCATTACCTCGCTTGTGACTGTGACCATAAATGGTTTTCTATATCATCATCGTCCATGCTTCCAAATTTACAAACGTTAATTCTGTATTCATTTCACCCACCAATAGAAGTGGCAATATGGAATATGCCACAACTAAGACATGTCCAGGTGGAAGCACTCTTTCTATCTGATCCTCTTGAGGGTGGAAATTCTGTTATTGTTCTGGAAAACCTACGAACATTGTCCCTAGTGCGAAATTTCAGATGTTCAGATAAGGTCCTTAAAAGAATTCCTAATTTGAAGAAATTGGGAATTAGTTATGTTTTGGAGCCACCTGATTGGCAATACTATTGTCTCAATAATCTTGTCCGTTTACATAAACTTGAAGCGTTAAAATGTCGCTTGCGTGTGCCAAGTCCTTGTTTACTGCATCATCTCACTTTCCCTCCCACAATAAAAAAGCGGTTTGTATCTTCCTTGGAAAGATATGAAGATTGTTGGATTGTTGACCAATCTTGAAGTGCTCAAACTAGAACATTATGCCTTCGAAGGCCAAGAATGGGAACCAGCCGAAGGGGAGTTTCTTAAGTTGAAGCATTTACTGCTTGAAGATCTGAATCTGGAGAACTGGAGAGCTGATAGTATCCATTTCCCGAGTCTTCAGTGCCTAATCATTAGGTACTGTAGAAATTTGAAGGAGATGCCTTGCGGTATTGGAGAAATACTAATGCTTCAATTGATCGAGTTGCATTGTTGTGCCGATTCACTTGTAGCTTCAGTAAAGCAAATGCAAGAGGAACAGCTGGGTCTGGGAAACGATGGCCTTCAAGTTCGCATCCGACTCCAGACATATTGAGGTTATATTTTTCACTTTGAAAATAATAATAATAATAATTTTCCAATGCATTTTTCTTTATTTATTTTTGAAGGGTTAAATCTCGCCAAGTCATTTGTAGAGCTAAGCTACATCTAGAAAACGAGCTGATAGATTTTAAAAATACAGAGAGGAAGATGAAGTGAAAATTATTCAGTTCACATATATATATTATGCTAATGATCAACTGATTTGCTATATATTACAAAAGGATTTCAATCACATTTCAATTACCAACTATTCTACCAACTACCCTTACCTTGTGGCAGATTGATCATGCTTTGATAAGCAACAAAAAAATGACCATACATAAGCTAATATAATACTTGTACTATTACAAAGTGAAGTGACAACAAAAGTGACACATGACTATCAACACTCTTCCTTGGCACTTTTGTTGGAAACACCAAGGCATTTCCTTAGTGTTTCAAACCTTTCTTTGGACAAACTCTTGGTCAGAATATCAGCAAGTTGAAGTTCAGATTTTTGCAGTGCATCATTTTTACTTCAAGGTTCTCTTGAGCCTCTCTAATAGCATGATACTTTATTTTGATGTGTTTTGTCCTTCCATGGAAAACCGGATTTTTAACCATTGCAACTGCTGATTGATTGTCGCAAAAAATCACAGTAGCTTCAGCTTGTTTAAAGTCCAAATCCTTAAGAGCTTTTCTTAACCAGATAGCCTAATTTGTAGCCTCAGATGCAGCTACATATTTTGCCTTTGCTGTAGATTGAGCCACAATTTTTTGTTTGATGTAGTTCCAGCAAATTGGACTTGATCCTAGGTAGAATACATACCCTGAGGTACTCTTCATATCATCATATGATCCAGCCCAGTCACTATCGGTATAACCTGACAAAACACAATTCTCAGCCCTCTTAAACCAGATTCCAAGTTCTTTTGTTCCTCTGATATATCTGAGAACCCGTTTGGCAGCCTGGAAGTGTAACTCAGTTGGCTCTTATCTGAATCTAGAGAGCATGTTAGTTGCAAATGTAAGGTCTGGTCTTGTGAGGGTTAAACACAAAAGACACCCTACCAGGCTCCTATACACTTTTTCATCAATTGTCTTGCTGCCATCTTCTTTCATCAGCTTCAGGTTTTGGATTAAGGGTGTGCTTGTTGGTTTACAATTTTCCATGCTAAACTTCTTCAGAATTTATTCAGCATATTTCCTTTGACTTACAAAAATTCCATCACTTGTTTGTTTTATTTCCATTCCAAGGAAATAACTCATCGTTTCCAAATGTGTCATCTCAAAAGCCCCTTTCATTTCTTCTTTCAACCTGTCAACCGAGCTTTGATTCCTTCCAATTACCAGCAGATCATCAACATATAGGGAAATAACAATAACATCTTCCTCCATTAGCTTGACATAGAGTGTTTGCTCATTTATGCTCTTAACAAAACCAAGGCAGCAAAGATGTTCATCCATTCGGCTGTACCAAGCCCTTGGTGCCTGTTTTAACCCATACAAAGCTTTCTTCAATGGATAAACTTTCCCTTCATTTCTAGTAGCAATAAAACCATCTGCTTGTTCAATATATATCTCTTCATCTAGCCATTCATTTAAGAAAGCTGATTTAACATCCAAATGATGAATGCTCCAGCCTCTTTGTCCAGCTATAGCCAGAAGGAGTCTGATTGTTTCATACCTTGCTACTGGTGCAAAGATATCAGTATAATCGACACCATACTGCTGAGCATAACCCTTAACAACCAGCCTTGCTTTGAACTTGTTAACTGAACCATTCGAGTTTAATTTGGTCTTAAACACCCACTTAACACCTATTACATTTTTGTGCTTTGACCTGTCAACCAACAACCAAGTCTTATTCTTCTCAATCATTTCTATTTCATCCATCATTGCAGCTAACCAACTAGAAGAATTTACAGCCTCACTGAAGTTTGAAGATTCAAGCTTGGCTACATTACATCTTGCATAAATATCAGCAAGAGGTCTGGTTCTCAGCACCTCATTTTCTGAGTTAGATTCAGCACCTGGTTCACCTACTGGTTCGGCCTCTAGTTCAACTTCTGGTTCTACTTCAATTTGTTCAACATCATTGATAAGAATATCATCATTTTCCTGAGCTACAGGCATTGGAGCTCGAGGTTTATCAACCTTATTTTCTTTCCAACTCCAGGATAAACTTTCATCAACTTTGATGTCTCTGCTTGATAACACTTTCCTGGTTTGTGGATTGAATACCCTGTACCCTTTAGCATTATCACAATAACCAATCAGGATACCTACTCAATTTATCACTCTTGACATTAGGTATATGAGTATAGCAAATGCTCCCAAATACCTTCAAGTCATTGGCATTCGGTTTGACTCCATTCCTACTTCTTGACATTAGGTATATGAGTATAGCAATTTGACAGTTGGTGCTTGATCCCTACTTCTTCACAAAATCTGTCAAATTGCTCACACTTATATTCAGTCCCATTATCAGTTCTTATTACCTTCATCTTGCTATCACATTCATTTTCCACCTGCTTTTTGAATTTCTGGAATACAGTGGCTACATCAGACTTTATTTTCAGAAAGAACACCCAAGTCATCCTAGTTAAATCATCAATAAACAGCACAAAGTATCGACTGCCATTAGGTGTTTGAGTTCTCATTGGACCACACACATCTGAGTGGACTAATTCCAATTTAATTGAAGCTCTTCTGGTTTGGTTTTTAGGAAAGGGCATCCTGGTCAGCTTTCCCAATTGACATACTTCACAAACACAACCTTCATCACCTATATTAGGCAGACTTTCAACCGATTTTTGTTGGTTTAATTGTTTAAGTGAAGTGTAATTAACATGTCCATAACGTTTATGCCGCAATGTAGACTCTATTTCAGTGCTGGTGTATGCAAGAGTTGTCACATTATCCCAATCCAGAGGGAAGCTTCTTTGCTTCATTTGCACTGTCACTAACTCATTCCTAGTAGGATCAAATATAGTGCAGCCAGAGTTTTTAAATATCAGTGTGTGGTTTCTTTCAATTAATTGACCCACACTTATCAAATTTTGATCAATGTCAGGTACATATAAAACATCAGAAACATGCTTGATACCTGATGGAGTGTGTACAACAATCACTCCAATCCCCTCAACTTTTACATGTTCTCCATTGCCCACTTTCACTCTTGATTTGTATGCACGGTTTAATTCAACGAAAATGCTTGAATTAGAAACCATATGGTGTGTGCATCCACTGTCCAATAGCCATGTTTTATCATTGCTGCAGGCTAGGAAATTGTTGGCTGTAAAAAGGTGCTCCTCCTGAGGTTGAAGCTGGTCATTTGCCAACTGAGCCTGCTGCTTTTCTTGCCTTTCTTTTTTAGTCTTGCACACTTTTTGCACATGACCAAATTGCTTACAATTTCGACATTGGACTCCTGGCCTATACCGGCACCACTCAGGTGAGTGACCTGACTTCTTGCAATGGAGACATGGTGGATATATATTGGTCTTCTCAGCAGACTTACTGCCTTCTCCCTTTTTTCTTTATGGTCCTGGTTTCTTCACCCCAAAGCTTGCTGGTGCTTTGTACTTCCCCTTGGCAAACAAAGCCCCTTCAACCTACTCTTCTTGCCTTAACAGCGTTCTTTGTTCAGTGGCATGAAGTGCATTAACCAGCTCAGATAAGGTGATGGTAGAAAGATCTCTTGAATCCTCAAGTGATAATATCTTAGCCTCAAACTTTTCTGGTAGGCTTATCAAAACCTTTTCAACAATTCTTCTATATTACTAATCATCCCCCAACAACCTGATTTTGTTAACAACCTTCATCAGCCGATCAGAAAATTCCTTCACAGTTTTTGCCTCCTTCATCTTCAAACTTTCATATTCTCTCCTCAAGTTTAAAACTTGCATTTGTCTAGTCCTAGCATTTTCCCTGAACTCCTCTTGCAGCCTGTCCCAAGCTTCCTTAGCCGTTTCACAAGTGATTATCCTAGTGAAAATTGCATCAGACACGGCAGATTGAATGTAGGAGAGTGCCTTGAACTTTTTTGCAGCTTCCTCACTATGTTGCTTGAGTTGAGCTATGATTGGATTGGCTCTAAGTGGAGGTGGTTCCATCCCCGTCTCGGTGATTTCCCACAGGTCGTAGGCTTTGAGATAGGCCTTTTTTTTTTGCAGCCCAGAAATCATAGTTTTCTCCTGTGAAACTGATGGTAATGGTGCTGAAAAACCGGTTGAAGCTATTCCTTCCTAATTTGAATAATCACTCAACTGAATATATGGTTTTGTTGGAGGTTACCTTACTTGTTTTCTCTTTTTCTACCAGATTTTGCTTCTAAGATCTCTAGGAGCTCTGATACCACTGATAGATTTTAAATATGTAAACAGGAAGATGAAGTGAAAATTATTCAGTTCATATATATATTATGCTAATGATCGACTGATTTTCTATATATTACAAAAGGATTTCAATCACATTTCAATCACCAACTATTCTACCAACTATCCTTACCTTGTGGCAGATTGACCATCCTTTGATAAGCAACAAAAAAATGATCATACATAAGCTAATATAATACTTGCACTATTACAAAGTGAAGTGACAACAAAAGTGACACATGACTATCAACACAAGTAGAGCATAGCCGTATGTATACATGTACAGATTGAATCAATAGAAGTGTTCATATTTTCCTTCTAATCATTGAGAAAAATTATGTCAAAAGGCAATAATTACTTTTAAAATAATTAATCTTTTACTCAAAAGTTCCTTGCTCATCCTCAAGCTTAGCCAAACTTACTCATAGTATTCCAACATCTTTTGGAGGTGAAGTTACTTTGCTCATGGTCGTGTTGTCGGTAGGTACTTTGCTCATATATTCTTGATATTTTTTATATAACACTTATTGAGCACTGAATTTCATATGGTTGTTAGTCGATTTGAGTGAATTTCTATTGAATTTTACCTTGTTTGTAACGCTTTAGGAGACACCAGGCTTCGGTGGCATTTTGAAGAAAATTGAAGGATGGAAGATATTAGAGAAGAATTTCTTTATATTTCTCTTCTCTAATTATTAGGTGATTTACTCCATAAATTAAAAAAGGTACAGCCCCTCTTGATGCAATGAAATTATTGAAAGGGCCATTTAGATTCATTGAAGTTGTGAGGATTGTTATGATATTATTTTTTTCCCCTTCCTGACAGCAAATGTAGCCACGCCACCTCCGATTTCAAGCCCTATTCTTATTGTGCCAGGTTTCTTTTCTCTCGTCAAACAAGATCAAAACAGTCCTTGCCATCGTCAAAACCTTTCTGAGTATGCATACAATTGATGAGACACGAATAGTTCTTGCAGTTATATGCTATTAGGAAGTGGGTATGGTTCAACGTATTCTTTCTGTGCAGCTGGAAGGCATCAGCGCCGAGGAAGTGGCTCACATCCCCAGAACAGAAGCTTTTGTGCTAGAAGCTCATTGTCCGGGCAGGATCCATTGAATTTGTACGACATTACCAGCGAAGCATATCAGGGAAAAGTGCACACGGATGGCCAACTGGAGGGAGGATTTTGTCGGAATCAAAATTCGAGTTATACACTGGTGGGAGCTGCTGTGGGGATGCGAAAGCAAGAAACTCATCGGGGAGGTCTGCTGCACTTTCCGCTGCATTGAATTCTTCGACTATCTCTACTTTCAGGGTTGGCTCGGGATCTTTTGGATCACAATCAGCAGTTACTCAAGGTTTCAGAGAACATGGAGAATACAAAGTAACGGAAATGAAAAGAGTGAGAAGATTTGAAGATAAAAATAAGAAAAGATAGAAAAGGTTAGAAGAGAAAGATCTTGAATTGGAAATCCATGGAAATCTGATTTGGATTGCTTAGAGTTGAAGATCAAGTGTGTTATATATATGAACTTCTTTGGATTAAACTTGAATTATCGATATATTATGTTTGAATACATTTAATCACGCAAAAGCATGTTGTTTTAAGATGATCAACTGGATTTGAGAAATGACTCCAAGTTGATAATGGTCTAATAAGGTTTTATTCTTCACTTCAATATATAATAACGTGCAATTCTCTTCTATTTCTTTCCCTTCCAATAATGAAAATAAGTTTATTCAACCTATTTATCATGCATTTGCTTGAAAATGGCCAATTGCAAGAAGAAAATGTCACTAGCTGGAGATGATATGGAGTGAAAAAAACAGAGAAGAAAAGGTGGAGGAAAGAAACTCTCTTCAATTTGTGTCATTGCCCCTGTACCTGCAAATAGAGAATCACACTAAAATAATGTTGAGCAGATTAAGGCAGTTCCCAAACTTCCCCTATACTTGAGTATCGGCCTTGTGGATTTTAATTTACTGTCTATTTGTCAAGGACGCCGAATAGGTTGGGGTTACGGGGGCAATGTTCTAGCTGTATGGTCCATGAATATTTTCTTGTACGGGCCCTAAAGTCTTTTTGGGTTTGGGCTAGAGTTAATATAAATATTGATAATGTAACCCTATTATTTATACTAAATAAAATATCTTCGTGAACGTAGGCACATCGCAAAACCACGTAAATACTTGTGTTGATTTCTTTTTTTCATTTCTTCATTATTGCGCATAAAATTCAACAATTGCTAATTGAGTGTCTGAATAAATCACTGGAATCTCATATAAAAAATAAAGGTCGTGTAACATATCTTTAAGCAACAAGGCTTCTTTTACTGCTTCTGTGACTGCTACATATTCTGAGAAAAGAAAAATAAGAAGTCTCTTGATGATGCTCTAGTAATTTCTATACTAAGATGTTTACTAGAAAAATCTACATCGTCTATAATGCAAGTTTAAAAGCAGGACACGATTATAGAAAAATTTAAAGTTTTCTAATCCACTAATGTCTTTGTTTGCACAGAACTAACATAAATTAGATTGCAATAAATAACTTATGGCGACGACTTTTGATATCCCATCATTTTCAACTTTAAGAAAAAACGAGAGAGAAGTTGGTACAGCTTGGTATTAAACAAACCCCATCGTGATGAATGGCTTTTGTATTTGGTGTCACACTTCTTCGAGGTTCATTTGTTAGGACTTTTAATTAGTCAAAAGTTACTTTTCAAATTATGAAGCTGCTTTTAAGTAATTTTGAGAGTTTTTAGAATTTTTTTTCTAATTAAAATAGCTTTTAGAGGAGATTAATCTAAGAATGAAGCTCTATTTATTTATTGTTTTAAAGGCACATGTAAAAGCAAAATCCTTGCCAACGGATCCTTCATCCGAAACTTTAAATTACTACAAAATTTAATTTTCATCAAATACTTTATCTGAAAACTATGATACATTTATTTATTTACAATCAAATGCGTTTGCTTAAAAGATTGAAATCATCAAGAAATGAAAGAAGAAATTTAGAATTTTGCATATGATTCAACGATCTGAAGAAGACGAACTCAAAAGTGCCTCCAAATAATCAACTCCCAAATCCTCTAAAATTACCACATTTTCTGCCTTTGATTCTTAAGTTTTCTTCTTTCTAATCTTCATCGAATGCCTTTTCTTCATTGCAATCACTGGTGAACACCCTTCTTCAAATCTATACTTCATTTCTTGAAGTGATTCCTTGACTCTCTCCACCGGAAAATTGAGCAACGCCCCCGTACCTCTCATTGAAAACGCCGCTTGATCATAGGCCAAGGCGGCGGCCTCCGCGGAATCAAAAGTCCCAAGCCAAACTCGAACTCCATTCCTAGTTGAATCCCTAATCTCCGCAGCGTATTTTCCCCACGGCCGCCGCCTCACACCTCTGTATGATTTTTCTTTTTCTGCTTCTTTTATCACATTCGAGGTGACCTCTTCCTCTTTACAACTTTCGGCGGCGGAATTGGATTCCGACGACTCCCTTACGGTGGCGCAGCCCTCTGCTAGCACACCCAAAAGGAGCATTTCTTCCGTATCGTTGACATTAAATGGAAGCGAATTTTGTTCAGAGAGAAAATTATCCCATGATTCTAAGGAATATTCCGGTGAGTTTTCTGAAATTTGGGATTGAAGGAATGAAAAATCCATTCTCGGATGCTTGCTCGTTTCACAATAATTTTGAATGAACTGCTGTTTATATACTCGTAGAAAATATTTTTTATTAACGAAATTAACTAGAAATTCAAGTTAATTAATTAAATTATGAGAGTGAAAGGTGAAAACTTGTGGCGAGGAGGGATGTATAAGTACGTAGTTAATAGTGTTAACCTGGGACCCTAGTTCAATTTTGTCACGTGAGTCAAAATTGTGATGACGCACGGCGGCGGAGTCATCGCCAAATGAATTGATCGTTTGGCGACGTATGATTTACTTTTTATTTTGCAATTTGCTATGTGCACATTCTTTTTTACCACCCTCTTAATAGAAAAATGTTGGTTAAAAAATAATTGAATGAAAAATAACTCTTTTTTAAACTGTGTCTAATGACAGAATGTCTTGTGACATTTTGGCAAAAATAGAGATAACAAAATATCTGTCAAACCCGATAGTTCGGGATAAGAATTACCCGCTTAATCGGGTTGAGTAGGCGAGTACAACGTGGGTACAGGTAATAAGGGCCCCACCCAGTTAATTTTTTTTTTTCAATGTATTCAATATTTTAAATAAAAAAGCTTCACAAAATTTCATTAAATCTAATAGAAGATGGCAACTAAAATTATATAATTAATATGATAAACAAAAAAAACTTTAATTTACCAAATATATTCAAATAATTTAACTTTCAAAAATAAATTAATTAATAAAGAAATTTAATAACTATATTATTATCTCAATTGAATGAATGAGAGCAATAAAATGAATTATAAAAAATAAAAATGAATTAAACTAGTATGTAAACAGGGCAATTGTTCTACTCCGCCCTGCCTTGCCCCACATTAAACAAGTAATGAGGCGAAAAAATGCCCAATGGGACCGAGGCAGGGGAGCCCGCCTCGTCCCTTTGCCAACCCTACTAAAAAAAAGCTATCAAATAAGATGTACATCAAGTATGATTGACTTATTTTTTGGGAAAATTTTGCATTATTTTTAGTTAGTTAGGTGAAAGGATATTTTACCCTAAAGTGATGGATTAAGCCCATGTTTGAAAATCATTATTTCAAAACTTTTTTTTACATGTTCATTTTCAGCTACACATTCACAATAAAATATTTTAATCGTAAGGCCAAAAATTTTTCTTACATTTTAACCACTTGTTCTCATAAAAATCAATATTCAAAACTTTGTTTTTTCAAAATAATGGTTGATAAACAAGGGCTTAATGAACCATTTTTTAAAAAAAAAGTTGGCACTCATAAGCATGTAATATGTTGCTAGAAAATTTTGAGACGTTACAACCTTATTGAGCCCCTGTTTGATGTTCATTATTTTGAAAAAAATTGAGTTTTGAATAATAATTTTTTGGAAAATGTGTGGTTAAAAAGTAGAAAAATTTTAAATTTTATTGTATTAATGTGTAATTAAAAAGATGTACGATAATTAAAAAGTCTTTGCTTTAAACGGAGACAAAGTACTCTTAGTAGTCGAATGTTTGCAAACCAGCTACTAGTTCTAACATAACGGTCTTAATCCTTCTCTTACTATTGTCCAGCTATCACTATTCTAAGAACTTGTTTGATTCCATTTTTTACCTCTTGTAAAAGGGTCGAGAGGGGTACTTTAGAGCAAGTCACATAAAAAAAAAATTAATTAGACAAAGCAATTTCAGAAAATTATTGAAACATATGAAAAGTAATTTCTTGATTTCATAAATAGATTTGACTATTCAAAATCCATGTGTCATCATGCGAGTGTTTTGTTGAAACTCCTTTCATTTCCTTCCAATATTGGTGATGTTTTGACTGAAGTGTGGACTCATCTTTAGATAAACTTCACATCAAAATATTTACTTTAGCCTTTTCGATTAATTTCAAGTTCAACTCAAAATAAGATTTATTATACAAATTTCGCCGTCAACAATTTTAAAATCAAGAAATTACGATAGTATTTCTCCTTCTCGTATCAAGTGGATCAATTAAAAAACACACCTTTTTGTAAATTTAAACCCAAAACTTTATAAATAATGAATTTCACACTGTCCCTTTAAGATATAAAAAGAAAAATCCTTCTATTACAAAATAAAGAATGAGATTCATGTGCAACATTATTTTCACAATTCTAGTCAAGTAACACGAGACAATTGGGAGCACTTACCAACTTTAAGGTCCTTTTCGTATAATAAGTTAATTGAAAAAAGCAAAGTCCAGATTCAGGCCCTCAATTCCAAAAATTTCTAGTCCCTGTCCAATCCTATGAAATTTGTGGTTATTGAGGATACCCTTATTAATATTTAGACAAATTTGGGCCACAAATAATTCAATCTCACCAATTAAATATAAGAGGTCATTATTGGTGGTCAAAAGATGACAATATGTTCGCGCAAGTTGCAAACACAAATTAGTAATTAATATTTAGACTTTTTCTTTCATGGAATAGTAAAAAGATAAGATTTATTAGAAAAGGGTTGTACTACTCGCACATAGAGTCTTACATTCCGATTTCCACGATCCCACCCGACCTCTCACATGGAAGAGGTCGGGGTCCACACCTTGGCATAAACACATCATTGCTATGTCTGGTTTAAAAAAAAAAAAAAAAAAAAAAAAAGGGGAAAGGGGGGGGTTTTTCTTCTAGTGAATTTTCATTATAATTTGTTTAACGATGATCACATACAACTATGTCCCTGTTTAATATCGTTAAAAAATTTGATTAAAAAAATTTAATTTAAAGTTAATAATTGATTTTAATCATACATTTTATAGAAAATATAACTTTTCAACTATATATTTTATCAATTAACAAATTTCGATTTTAAAAAAAAAAAAAAAAGTGAGTATAGTGAGGGTTTTCTTCTAGTGAATTTTCATTATAATTTGTTTAACGATGATCACATACAACTATGTCCCTGTTTAATATCGTTAAAAAATTTGATTAAAAAAATTTAATTTAAAGTTAATAATTGATTTTAATCATACATTTTATAGAAAATATAACTTTTCAACTATATATTTTATCAATTAAC